CAATTGCTAGGATTGTTAATTTCCTTCCGTTAAACATAGTCAATTATTAATTCTCTAACCAGTGAAAATTCTTGATATATCCTCCGTCTACTGCATTCAATTCATGCACTATGTGCATATTTGATATAGGTTAACTTTCAAGATTTTTTTTTTTTTTAATTTTGACTTTATTTACCTATACAAAAACACTGTATGTGCATGGAAATGAAACAAGCCCTTTTATACATCAATTATACTTACAAGAAGCACACAATTTTCTGATTTTATAAAGAAAAAGATATTCAAAGTTCTTGATTACTTAAGAAATAATGAATTTTCACTTAATTACTTTGCAATGAGCTGCCAATTGTTTTTTCAATTGTTTGATTCAAGGAATGCATTTAAAAATTTTTTTCTCCATTTATTTATGAGGTTCTTTGATTTACTGTATAGACATTTTTTACAATTTAGTGAATGGTTAATTCCTCTTTTACTAAATTTGCAAGTGTTACTTTATTATTTTTCAATTCAAACAATCAATTAAGTCTGTAGTAAGTTAATTTAGTTCTATTTTCTTTTCTAACGTCCAACTTAAGTACATCATCGCAAAGGAAACAATGGACAAGGGGTGTTAATTATTTAGCATTTAACTGGTTATTTATATTTAGTTAATTGGAAGTTCATTGTTAGTTTTCGATATCCCTCCTAGTCTATGATTAAGTTATTTTTTTTATACTTTTTCATATAGCAAAACAATGTACATAGGGTAATGACTATAAAGAGAAAATGCCCTATGATGCCTTAGCCATTCTGTCTTGTTTCCTTAACCCTCCACATTATCTGTTTACCCGTAACAAATTATTTATTTTCTTCTGTTATGAATTTGATTCCATTGTTTCCTATTTCAATTAAGGATTAGTTTTGTTTTTTCCTCGACTTTCATTATTAATGTAAATGTTACATAGCTTTTATTTGTTCTCTGTAAAATTGAGTCTTAAAGTGTGCCAGACATAGACCCTCCTCTAAAAATGAAAATCTCAACTAAATGTGTTATAAGCATCGCAAAAAATAGAAGGGAAAAAATTATAACGAAATTAAAAAATCTGATTTTTTAGTTGGATGATACCAGGCCTAAGATTGGTAATTTTTTTTTTTTTTTCCAGCGTTCCCCTACTGTTGAGTGTGAACATGAAGGACAGGCTGAAGTACTCGATGATTCATCTTTATTGAACAATGGTATGTATTGCAGCCTAAGACAAAAAAAAAAAATCAAACAAAGGCGAAGAGGAAATTATGGCCCCGTTCAATAAACTCGTCCAAATAATAGAAAAACAGTGCGGAAATACAAATAAACCCAAAACAATTGCACAGAATTATGGGTCCATGTTAGGAGAAGGGTTGGACCAATTACCTCAACCAGAACAAAATTGTGCATATGTGAAATGGAACGAGGCTTGGGGAAGATGTGTGCGGACTTTGTGGAATAAAAATATTTGTAATATTGAAACCAGCACTAGTTTAAACAAGATGGCAGCCTGTGCCCGTGGTATTTTTAATGCACCATAAAGAGTGATTTTCCAGCAACATGCTGGGCCATTTAAAAAATATAAAACAGACACTTTTTCTGTAAATACTAGTAAGGTTGTACCTCCAAAAAGACATATTATTAATAAAGCCTTTTTAAAGGTGTTTGAAGAAGATGGAGAATAATCCAGTAAATTATTAGAATACTCATTAGTTATTATTCAGCTTTTTCTGATGCATTTAAAAATGCTTTATTTGTAATGTTAAATTCCTTTATTCATGATGTTGTATAAACAAAAACATATCTTGTATTCATTAATTTGTATGTTGTATTAATTCATTTATATTTTGTATTGTATATTTGAACCTAAAAATATTTATTTGTTCATTAATAGAATTTCTATTTTGTATAATAATAACAAAGTTAGGATATAAAGATTAATTTTCTAGCAACATTATAATTATTAAATTTAGTTTATGTATATGATTTATTATATTTTGCAAATATATGGGTTGTATGTATTATAAATAACATCTTCCATCATTTCCCTTCAAACATATATATTACAACTTGTGTATAAATAACCAATAAATGATAGGTATATGTCAAATTTCTAAAATTAAAAATGCGAATAACAAAACAAAGGCAGTCTCACTATGTGGTTAAAATTTCCACACTTAGACTTAATTGTTATTTTAATCAGACAATGTTTTATACAAATATAACTTTTTTAGGCTTAGGATGGTTGATTATTTATTGAAGTAGGCATCAAAATTGGCACTGTATGATGTTAGTCTCTAACCATGATACAGTCATTTAATTACAAATATAGTATTGTATTATGGTGTTTCAATATGTGCTTAAAATGTTATTAATGCAACTTTATTAGAGTCTAGGTTAGTAATTTTGTGAGTTGTTCGGTTTTATTTGAACTGAAGATATAGAAAGAAAAAAAAAAACAGATGTAGATTAACACTAATGTCTGTGAAATGTAAAATTAGTTGACAGACCGATACAAATATGGGCACTAAAAAAGAAACTGATAAACTGATCATTTTAAAAAAATAATGAATACTTGTTTTCAACTCTCTAAAGTAGAATAAGCATAGGTTAAAAAATAAATAAATTTTGAACTTTTTTTTTATATTGACTAAATAATATGTGAAAATGGATATTATTTTATTTTAATGTAATGCGAAGTATTGGGATCATTAAAAATTTCAACTCCGAGTTTTCAAAAACATAAAAAAACTTTTTGCTTAATGGTTTTTTTGTGTAAATGCAGAATCTATCTAAAAAATGAAAAGTTCAGTGATTATACTTATTTATTAAGGTAGATAGGAGTATGGCAGCGATGTTAGGGCAAATTGTTGGCTGAAATAATATTACCAAAAGTGGAACTTGACATAATTGGTTTTATAAAGTATTTCAATTCAACTATAAAACGGAAATAAACAATGAAGAGTAGTATTAAATGAAGAAGAAACATAAAATGGAATAATTAGATATGAATAATAAAATGTAATTAGATGAATTAACAAAAACTTAGTTTATGATAATAAAAGGTAATGAATAAGTACGAAAGGTTATGATATATATACCTGACACTCAAAAAGATGATAAGTACAAATAGCAAATATATGGAAATATAATAAATCAAATACATATATATAAGTAATGACAAATGGGAAAAACAAGTAATGGATTAAAAGTTTTGTTATTTAAAATATATTATGTAAAAATGTTCAAAAATATATGTTATATTTCATTATATCTTATTTAATTTTATTTATATGAACCCTTCCGCTAACAAACTTCCATAATTCATTTAATGGCAAATAATATCTTCATTTAATTTTTGTAGTTTATAATGATTTGTTTGTTATTACTGAAAGACAGAAAGCTGGTTGCACAGAAAATTTTTATTAAACTCGTGTATTATTGTATAATTAAGTGGTCTTTAATATCATTGAGGTCTTATCCCCATTAATGTCACTTTACATAGCTTAAATGCCTAAATGTTCAACATTTCATCCTCTAAAGTACCTTTAATTTGATTAATTTTTAATAATTAACCATCTCTCATTATTAAGAATTACGAAAAAATGCTAAATATAACTTTTGAAAGAATTTGATAATTGAAAAATGGAGAAAAAAGGGAAAATGTGTATTGAGGATGAAAATGAATTACCAGCAATACTTGTCAGAAGTTATATCATTGGAAAACGGATAATTTTAGAAAAAAACAATATGAAATATAGAATGTAATGGAGAGAGATTATTATAAATAATAATTTGTGTAAACTAACATTATTTAACGGAAATCACATTTTTTCAAGGAAATTAAATAAATGAAATTTACTAACTAAATTTAAATTGTTTTTAAGTTTGAAAAAGTATTTAAAATTCACCTAATCAACGCAATGTTATTGTTAAAAAACTATTTCATAGTACTAATGTGAAAGAAGTGAAATATAAAAATATTAAATGGATGTATAAAGCCTATGTTTATAACCTTAAATACATTTACTGTAGTTTAATAATTCTAAATCTGATATTATATTTAAATAATTAGGTATCAACGTCCGTTGATCGTCGTATAACATTTAAAAAAATTAAATTAGTGAGTAATTTGATGAATTTTCCCTTTGTTAAATTAGTGTAACAACTTTTGAGCTATCTATGACAGGCTATGAAAATCTCGTAATTTCTTTGTAGTAAACTTTACAATGGAAAGTAACAGTTTAATAACTAATAGGCGTAGAATCCATAATAATTTATAGGTTGAATATAGAGATATACTTGAAAATCTCTCTAGACATATGTATATTGCTCAGAGACCGGAGTTATATGGTTTACGAAAAAAGATGGGGTAGGGAGGTTTTTATTATCTACCGTTGATATAATTAATAGGGTTTCTGTTATTATAGGGATGATAATGATTAGTTAGCTGTAGACCTTTAAGCTATAGATCCGTTAAAAGTGCACTTAAAAATTTTTATAATTGCTCAACATTTCCAGAAAATAATTTCTATTCAAAGTAGAAAGGTAAGTGAAAGTTGTATGTTGTGCGCACTAATTTTGTTTTATTCCGGATATTGCAAAAAAAAGCGGAAAATGGAAGTTTCTGTGTCAGCCAATCACAGTGGCTATTCAATGCATCACTAGCGTAGCGCAACGGCCATAATGCAAAACTTGCTTGGATTTTGCCTAAGTTTTCCATTTCGGATGGATATGCAACAAACCGGGGTAAACAGCCCATTACCTTCCACCAGCTGGTCAAAATATCCCCACCACCTTCTCCCACTCTCGCCCTTTCCTTTGTTCTCTACGACAGTGGCGCTAGCAAACTCGGGCAAATTCCCATAAAACTGAGGCAAAATGCGGGAATTTGCCTCGATTTGCCTGTAGTGTGGGCCCAGGGTTAAATTTAAGCCAAGATCCATAATTAAATCCAACCTAGCATCATGAACAGCTGTGTTTGTCAGGAGCTCAGGAAGGCAGCGCCACTTCAGATGATTAGTTCAACCTTCTGTCAATGTAGGTAATAGTGATAATATCTGTCCTGTAATGATATAAGAATACAGTTCGGAATGGACGAAATATTAGATGAAGTGGGTTCCCCAGAAGAACTCAAGGTATTTAAAATTAAATATATTAATTATATTTTTTCTTTCAAATTATTCGATTAAAATTAAGATTAGACACATTATATGCATAGTTGCTTTTATTTGTGTAATGCTTTGACTCATGGATTTGTCTATCTTGACTAATCTACCTACTTCAAACCGTAGCATTGGTTCTTACTTAAATTAATTAAAGGCGTCTTTTAATATCTAGTTTGAGTACCATCAAGTTGAATATAACAAATAGTATATTAATGTTATGTAGTTATCATTGTATGATCTCTTATGTATTATGTCATCTTGTGTTATGTACTTTATTATATATGTATGATCTTATTTAGAAATTTGAAGCCATATACAATCAACAATTAGAAGAACATAGTGTTACTACAGATGCAACATTTAATTATGCTTGGAGCTTAGTTCGTAGTCGTTATGCAGCTGACATACGAAAAGGAATATGCCTATTAGAAACTATTTTCAATGAAGATAGGGAGCAAACCAGAAGAGATTGTGTTTATTACTTAGCCATAGGCTATGCGAAGTTAAAGGTGAGTAATGGTTCTATTAAATTAATTTTGTTTTAATGTAGTCATTCTATATACATGGCAATATATTAAAGATATATGTGTAGGAGTGTCATGTAGGTTTGACAGATGAGCCAAGATCACATGGTCACTTTGTTCTTAGAAAATGCTGAAGCTGGCCAAGTACTTCAGTTTTTGACTGGTTAGGTTAGGCTTACATTTCTTATGCAAACAGCTTAAGAAATCGGATTAAATAAATTGACTTGTAGATTTCAATACATTTGTTACTACTATACAATTGTTACTCCAGTTTGATGGGTGGCACAAGATCATCATGATTACACTATAAATGGAATTCTGAGGATGTCCATTTATCTTTCAATGTTAAGAATTGGGTTAATAAAAAATTATGGAATGCTTTACTTCAGAGTTTGGTGGATCTTGGCCCACTTGTCAAAGTAGAGCATGTTTTTTACAGTAGTACCTTTAATAAAATAACTAAATGTTAAAAAGATAAATAAACACAATTTTCATTTCTTTGTATTTTTATTTAGTCTAATTCTTTACTTGTTTTAGTAACTTGATCTAACCTGTCAAAAACAGATGTGGTCGGCTAGCTTTTTCAATCCAAAAACTCTGTGTGATCTCTATATATATATATATATATATATATAGAATTGAGTGAATAAATCTTGATAGATCTTTGGTTTTAGCCACTTTCAAAATTATGTCTTACTTGCTTTTCCTTTGTATTCTTCAAATATTGCATCAATGTCATGAAATGAGATCAATCTTACTTCAGAATAAATAGCATTACATATTGTAATTCACTTTTTTAGATAAATACTTTTCCAATAGTGGAATCTGATAAAATTTATATTTAATGACTTTTTTTTCTTTAGAAAGACTTTGGAATGCAATAATTTTATACCTTATAAAATAAGTGCAGGCTTCATATTATTTTTCTCACTGGAATTTTTCTACCATTTCTTTTTATTTCCTCAATATAAATTATTTTGTTAGTGTTTTGTAAGAATTAAATGTTAAAACTTCCCCGAATAAAGATTTCTTTATGCAAAGAATTTATTCTTTAGTTATGAAAAGCAAGTTTTATTGCATTTTCCGTTTTCATAAGATGGTAAATATGCTTCTTTCTTCTTCTTGTCTTCCTCCTTGTGTGCTTTTCTGCGTGGAGGAGCCTCCAGCCACTTCGACCATACATCCCAGTGTCTCACCAATTCCTTCATCTGACCTAGAATTCTAGGGTTTTCTCTCTTTCCTCACCTAGTCGCTGCATATGTTCCGGATATGTTCTAGGAGTGTCTCGTGGTCTCCTGCCAGTTGATCTCGCTTCTATGCATTTCCTTGGTACTCTGCTTTCTTCCATTCTACACAAGTGCCCATACCATTGAAGTTGCCAGGACTCCATAGTTGCTGTCTGTGAGGTTATCAGGGGTTCCTTTCTTATTCTTCCATTACATACTCTATCTCTCCAGATTCTTCCCAAAAAAATATATATATTCTTCCGATCTCTTTAATGTTATTCATTTTGCCTTTTCAGGAAATTTCAGCTTATTTCCAGAGTTTAAATTTATAAATTACTTAAGGGTTAAATAAGTATACTTTGTCTCATGTTATTTCTTTACAAATATAGCTAAATTTAATTTTTTTTTCTTTCTTCTGAAATTGGGTTTAAGAAAACATTTCCATTCATGTTGTAGTTAGTTATGCTAATTTGACCTCTGTTGTTATTGAATTCAATTCGTATGAGTCCTGACTTTCTACATTTAATTCAAAATTTTATTTTTCTCATCAATTGTGTCTTAATGACATGAGCTGTATTTTAACTGTAATGATTATCATACGTTTAACAAGAATCTATTGTTCAACCATTTGTGCAAACCTGAAATATGAATCATTATTTACTAATAGAATATTGATCAGTTCATCCATTTTAATTGTATGTAAACTATCTCTTTTTTATATTTATGCTCTCCTATAATTATATTATAAGAGAATCTTTACATTATAACGTATTATAAAGTAAGATTTAACTTTATTTCTCTATTTCAGGAATATAGTAAAGCCCTGCAATATACCAAAGCTTTTTTAAATTTAGAACCAGCAAACCTCCAAGTGCAAAGTTTAGATAGTACCATAAGGAAAAGAATGGAGAAAGGTGAGAGAAAATGTTTTATTTGTTAAAATAATTCATCTTTTTTTCTTGTGTTTCTTAAGTTATCCTAATTTTTCAGGAAATATAAGAAGTACCAAATTTAATATTGTTTTTGTTAAAATACTGTAATTTTTTTATAGAAATTATTATAATGTGCCAATCTTAGGTTTACTTTAATTTACATGTAGTCATGTAAATTCTAACACTGCCCAATTCAATTGTTCCAACTTTAGAGAAGAGACTTCTTAACTTCATTACTGACAATCTTTTCTATGATTTATAGCTAATTTCAACTTCAACTCTCTTGGAAATATATTTTCACGCAATTGTATAATAAATTAAAAATTTTCCAAAATGACTACGAATAAGTTGGTGTGCCAGATTTTGAATTAGGTAATTAATAATCATGGACCCAAAAACAACATGCTGAGATGGACAGAGGCTACTCTGAGTACCGAGCACCAAGTGTATTACTCAAATTGGATCACTATTGAAAATTCAATCACTACTTCAGTTAATCGTTTGATATCAAATCAAGTAGTAATTAAATTCTTTGGTACTCAAAAAAGGTCAGTATTTGAGTAAAACACCCGATACTCGGTACTCAGAGTAGCATTTGCCCATCTCTGGTTACATGTTGGCACCACAACATTTTTGGCATGTTTAATTTTCCCACACCTCTACAGTCCCTCCAAATAAATTTGGATGGTTAATATTTTTTCTGTAAGTTGAATTGGTGTTGGAAAAGTGCTTAATTAGAATCTCAAGATTTTCTCCAATCCTTGCTATTTCTTCTCCATTTTTGCTTACCGCAAAAAAAACAACAACTATAAATTGATTTTGAAGGTTAACAACTTTTATGTTAATTTAGTTAATATTACATAAGTACCTTTAGAGTGTCTCATCCTTCTGGTGCTAAAATATTTTACACGATTTTTCCTATTGGTTGTGGCATCACTACAGCTATAGCCCCTCCCAATCGATTTAGAGGGTTGAATAATTGAGATTTCAAAAAAATTTAAAACTGTGTTTGTTTTGGAGAAATGCCGTTCAGGGATATAGACTTATTTTTTTTTATTTCCACCATTTTTATAGATTAAATTAGGAAAGACAATTCTAAAATGTTGAAAAACAAAATATTGAAGAAAGTTAATCGACTGTTCTTCATATAAATAGTCAGGACGCATTCATTTTAATATTTTTATTGTTAAATTTGGCAATGAAATCTTAAAATGATTCCATCCTGACTATTTATCACCTATGAAAAACAAAATATAGGAAAGAAATTCTGTATCTCAAATTATTTTGAAATAAAAAAGAATAAAACAAAAATTTTCATGTGTTTTTTCCTCAGAAATGAGAGGAAAATAACAGAGATGTGCTACTCAGATTTTTTAATTTTACATATATATTTATATGTATTATTAAAATTTTTAATTGACACTTAAATGATATAGTTATTTTAAATTATATATAATTTGATTTGAATAGTTCTTTTTAATCCAATAATTGTATGAAAATAAGCTGTTTTTTAATTTTTTTGTATTTTGAATAATTTTTTTTTTTTCAGAGGGTCTTATTGGTATGGCACTGGCTGGAGGAGCTGTCTTAGCACTTGGAGGTCTTGTTACTTTGGGGTTAGCTTTGTCGAAAAAATAACTTTTAATTCTTACTGTGTTGTTTTTGTTTTGTTTGAAAACAGCATGGTAATTTAAATATATAAATAAATACACCTTCGCATTTTTTATTTATTTTTATTTTATTTTACACGGTTGTGTTAGATGTGATACTTATGAAAGTCATTTTAGTACATAATTTATTATACTAATTTAGATTATATTCATTTTTTTCTTAACTAACTTATGTTATGATTTAAAATATTCAAATAAAAAAACTTTACATAATTTTTTTGTTCTGCTTTATTTATGTTTAGCACAAAATATTATATATCATTCCATTCTCTCGGGACTGCCTGTTGGCACATTAGAAATTAAGCCACAATGTATTATATATTGAAATAAATAAAATAATAAACTTGTCTGAATTGAACAAAAAATTTTATAGTATTTCTCTGTGAATAAATTTTGACATTTCCAGTGTTTTTGTTTATATAAAATTCCAGATCTATTTTGTTTTGCATGGTCAATGTTTTTTCTCAATATCTTCAACTGTGACATTTCTTAAAGTCTTAGTTGTATATGAATAATTTTTTAATTATTACTCATGTCAAATGTGTTCTTAAATACAGTTGTTAATTTAATTTTAAAATAGTTTTTATTGCTGGTTGGCATTGTTTTAATTCATTATTTCATTTTTTTTTTAATTTCCAAATATATGATTTGGAAATTAAAATATTCGCTTCGAATCAATTATTTTTAATGTAGTTTAAGTTTAATTAATCATTACCAGAAGTGTTTACCTTAGTTTTTAAAAATGATCAATTGATACTGTTAAATTAAAAAAAAACAAAAACAAGTCAATCGTGTTCCATCACCAAATTTATTTTTCATTAGGAGTTTCCACTATTAGTGGGTTTCCTTAACCTTGGATGGCTTCTTTCCATAATATCCTATCTAAGGTCCATTCTTCCTGTAGACCATGACCCATCATGGATTTCTCCACTTCGTTATCCCAGGTCTTCCTCGTCATTTTCTTTCCCTAGTTTTCCATAAATGGACTTCTTTGGGTAATCTTCCTTCTGGCATTCTTTTTAAATGTCCATACCAGTTCAGGCGTTTTATCTCAATCTCTTCCAGAATGGTTCTTTTAGCCTCCATCTTTTCTCTGATGGTCGTATTTCTAACTTTATCCACTCTGGATATTCCCGCCGCTCGTCTCCAGTAGTCCATTTCAGTGGCTAGAAGTTTCTTCCTGAAGTGGCTTTTTATGGTCCAAGTTTCTGACCCATATGTCATAATGCTCAGTACTATACTATTGTAGATGTTTTTTTTGTTTTGTTTGTTAACAAAATTTTAAAATATTAATTGACTCAACAAATAATTAGTGTTTTGTAGAAAGTGAATTGTTACATTAGAAGACAATCCAAGAGTATAATCACATATAAAACCTACTTAATTACAAGACATTGACTAATTCTCTTGGCTTTTTTAAATGATGATTTATAATTGTGTTAATTTAGAATAATTGTTTCCACAACAAACTTGCCAAATGCTCAGTGGAGACAGTAGGGTTCGCAAAAAAAAAAAAAATAAATAAATAACATTATTTAATTAGTTGAATTTGGAAAATAGCGAAAACCATAAAAAAAAAAATAAATAAATAAATTTAATTTAAAAAAAAGATTTGGACTCGAAGTGAGCTACAAACTCGGAACTTATGGGTCTAAAAACTTGTTAATTAACCTCATAACATATCGAACCTTCTAACTCGGTTAATATTGATTTTCTCTAATCTCTCGAATAAGGTTTTACAATTCCTTATTAAACCTTAAAAAAAAAAAACAATATAATATATACATAAAACGTGAAAACAAACAGAAGAAAATAAAACTGACCATTATTAATACTCATGATGAATTTACTTATTTCTATTGATTTAAATATCTGTCGAAGGAAATGAAAATTATGAACAAGAAATTAGATTTATAAGAAAATACAATTATCTTTAATTTTCAAAGAAAAGAATATAAAATTATTTTAGAACTAAACATTAACTTAGACTATACAATAAACCAATTACAAATCTTTGGAAAAAAAACTTATATGTACGTATTTACAATATCTCACTGGTTGAACTCTGTTCAATTGGCACATTGAGTTATCTGAGGAAATGGAAGATTATTCTAGCTAGCGTCGTCAGGGTCTTCTCATTCTATCTCCTCAAGCTGTGAAAATGTTCATTCACCAACTTGTAAAACAAAGCGGTACTAGTCACTGATAATCAGAGGTTCTTGAAGAGGAAAAGAAAAAGCCGGTGTACATCGTAAAACTAATCCTTGTGTACATCATATTTCGCATGCAAAAATCCTTAGCGTGCCTCTACACTCACGAGGTTCCGCCATCTCTCCCCAAACTCTTTTTTTTTTCCAATCATCTGTTGGTTATTCCAATCAGAAATTAAATTAATACTTGAAACTAAGAATTATTATAAACTAATGCTTATTATTAAAACTAATGCTAATTACTTAATTCTATTTAACCCGCTTCGAGGTAATAAAATCATTACTTTACGAACTAATTTTATTTTTTGTCACAATTGGTTTAATTAAATGCTAGCTGGTCAGGATCCTCAGTTATACCCAATCTAAGATTTTAAAAAAAATCAAGATAATGTTTTTGAAAATTTTCTAAACCGGCCCGGCATCTAGATTACGGATTTTTTACAGGGATAAACAGAGTTGATATTCATTTTTCACACCTCAAAAACTCCTAAAATGTGAGTTTTTATAGAAACCGAAAATTAAATGTTTTACACAAAATATTTGTCGAGGTTGAAGCCCTCGAAACTTTGTTGACAACCATTTCAGAATGACTATGGATTTACACAAAAATGATTAGAGATTTAGGGCTCTATATGCTACACAAAATGGTACAAATACAACCTTCGTTAGCAAATTAGAACCAAAAATATAAAATTCAAATATTTGCAATTTTTTCTTAATTTGTAGCTTAAAAAAGAATGAAAAGTTATTAATGTGGGTAGGAAGAGTGCATTCAGCTATCCAATGATGGTAATAACCAAGGCCCGGATTTTTATGCAGTAAAAAACACAGAATATGCTATATAATGCAGTAAAAAAACATAAAAGATGCAGTACCTGGTATCTATATATACTAATCTTACTAATTACTTGACAAATAATAATGCAATAACGTATTTAAATATAATGATGTGCCTACAATAAGTTTTGAAACGAATAAAAAAAATTATGGAGGTTGAAAATTAAAATAATTTCGGTTGTTTTTTTTTAATATCTAAACTAAAGCATGACAATAACTAAATATATACGGCTAATAAGGTTATAGTATAAATATATATATTATAATGGTAACAAAAGCAGAACATGAATCACATTAAAAAAATTGAAATATCAAAGTATATACAAACGAAAAAAATAATAATTGTCTTAACACATAATTAACATAGTAATAAATGATAATAAATTTTTGAACAATAAGTATGTAAACGCTTTAAATTTTTTTATGTTAATGGATAAAAAATTAACATGAGTCTTTGTTGAAACAATAAAATAATTAAGACATTGTGGGATAAATAACGTAAAATAGATAAAACATTTGAATTAGTCTACTTTGCAGACATAGGTATTATAAGATCTTTTAACCTTGTGGTATAAAAAGGGCACTCTTCCAAAACATGTTTTATGGTTAATGACTAGTCACACTTTTGACATCTGGGGATAATATCTTTTGTTATGAGTTGGAGGTGTGTCAGTCTAGTATGTCTGATCCTCAGCTGTGTGAGGATGACTTCTTCTCTGCGTTTGAAGCTGGTCCACAGTTGCACCTCTTTCTTTATTGTCTTTAATTTGCTAGGTGCTTGTTGTCCCACCGTCTTTGCCATTCTTGGGATATGGTTTCTCTTAGAGGTTTTGCAAGTTCAGATGGTATCAAAAAAGCTTTATCGTGGCTTGGAAGAGTAAGAGCTTCTTTTGCTGTTTTATCAGCCATTTTGTTTCTTTTAACGCTTATATGACCAGGCGACCAAATAAAATGTGCCGTTGGTCCAACTCCATGAAGTATTTTCATAAGATTTAGAATGCAGTGTATCCCTGGATGGTCTGGATACATGTTATTCATGGCTTTTAGGGTACTTAGGGAATCCGATACTACAACCACATTTGCAACTGGTATCTTCATGATGTATTGGAGACTCATTGCGGTGGCGTTAATATCTGCTGAGTAAACACTACACAGAAATGACTAATGACGATGTAATTTATATTTTTAGGTAGTGTCAGGGGTGACAAAGGCCGATGCAGTAGATGTATCTGACTTAGATCCGTTGATGAGTATTGGGAGATGTTCAGGTAATGTGATGATTATTTTGTGGAATTTTTCTTTATAATCTGCAGGTAATGTACTATCTTTGGTGAATTTGGTGAGTTGGAGATTTAATTTTGGTTGGATATAGGTCCAAGGGGGTGTTTCTTTTTCTGTTTCATTTAATCTTATTTGTTTGAATTTATTTAATGAGAGACTTTCTTTTTGTCAATGGTAATAAGTTTTTGTTATTTTAATAGTCTTAATGATTTGTTAGCTTTAAGCTTTAAGCTTTAGCTACATTTAAAATGTGCCTCAACATTTTTATATTAGCCCAATATTGCCAGAAAATAATTTCTGTTCAAAGTAGAGCAGTAAGTGAAAGTTGTGTTGTGCTTTTTTTTTTTTTTTTTTGCTGAAATGGACTAGCAGAAAGTACCACAGAAAATAATCAACTTTACATTTTCTTGAAAACAATTCTTATTAAATTCATTATGTCAATTAAAAATTGAATGATATTTAATACAAGCTGTCGTTTACTCATTGAAATAATCTGATAGTTTTCAAAATGGCTTTCTCTAAAGTACCTTTTACATTATTTATTTGAAATAATTAACTGTCTTTCATTGTAAGTACTACTAAAAATTGAATTAATATGAAAGAATATGATAATTGACGAGTAGAAAATAGGAAAAATATTATACTAGGTCGAGAGAAAATTCTTTTATCATGTAGTTCCAAAAAAAACAAACTTTTATGGCATATAACCAGAGAAAAAGGTAGTACTCAGATATTCTAGTTACTTAACAACCAATTAGTGGGGGAAATAAATACGTCACATATAAAAGAAACAAATAAAATAAACTTTTTTAATATAAAAGATTAAAATTCACATTTTAAATAGAACTTTTATAAAAACAAATAAATTATCCAGTATTTCACTATAAGAAAAATCACTCAACTACTATAATTCAAAAGAAGATTCTTCAATTCCTACAAAAAAAAAAAAAGAAGGTTATTATTAGATCATATTCATAATTTATTTAGTAAGCAAATATTTCTTAATGTGCAATATTTACCTTGTTTCCCATTGTATTGATTAAATTTAAGAGGCCATGCGCTAATTTATCATCATTATTTTTAGCGAAAGTTGAAACATGGTGAACTGCTACTTTATATAAAACTGGACACCAAATATCTCTTACACGTCCTTTAACAATAGAACAAAAAACAGACTCAATAGTAAAGAGAATGATAGAATCATACTGAAAGGTATCTGTTTTAATTCCAATTTTACCTGTTCCTAAGCATCGCAAATATGTCATCAATAAATCACCATCTGATTCACAAGGACTTAAGTAGTCATTTATATCAACCTGAAATCATACAAAAATAATTTTAATTTTGTTGTAAAATAACTTAAATCCTCCTCATCAATTTAGATTCTGCTTGTCTTATTCCACTGACTTGTATTCCCATTAAATGGTTAATAGAAGACAGAATGAACTGCAAAGGTATTTATTAGCATTTAATATTTTTACCAAGATTAACATTTAACACCTATACAAACTACGTCAATGACTTCCATAACTGTAGAAGGTTCTAGCTATAGTTAACAGTTTGAATTAAAAAATTGTATAACTAGAATTGCAAGTTAAATTTTTTTTTCTTCAAATGAAAATGTCTACTAAAATAACTTACAACATGCATTAATACATCTATGTTTCCTTGGTGATCCAAATATTAAATAAGTTCTTTAAAAAAAAAACAGTAAAAAAAAAAAAAACTTAGTATTTAAATATTTTATTGGTACCTCATCAAATGGAGTCCTTAGAAGTCGAAGGATAGCAGCTAATTCACTCCATACCAGCTTCTTATACTTATTACTATGCCTTTGTTGAAGAGGAAGAAGAACATACTGTCCAAATACTGAATTACCATATGATACACCAGCAAACTGTTCAAGAACTTCTCTATAGCTACAAAATATTGACTTATCACAACAAAGAGGATTATTAAGTGTAATAAGTCTATTGATTCCGGCATGATTAATAAAGCTAATCTCATCTTTTATTGAAAAAAAAAAGCAAGAGTATTCTAGGTTTAGAAAGTTGAGAGAAGTTGTCATTAACAGTTGCAGCCATAGTAACGGAATTAGATTATAGGGACCTAATGCATGAGAATTGAGATTTAAAATAATAGTTAATATAGTTGGTTGGCCAGGAATTTGCGACACTACACCATATAAATGCAAATACATGAAGTAATCTTATACTTACAAGTCATAAAATGATGTTAATCCAGGAATACTATTTTCAAAGTCTATTTTATCTTTATGTGCTAATACATATGATAATGCAGCTTCTAGCAATGGTGAAACATCTTGAAACAATTCACTTCCTTTAACAAACAAAATCATCCATAAGTTTCATTATTTTCATTAAAAAAATAATTTTTAAAGTGCTTATATGTTACCTGCCAAATAAACACAACATAAACGGCAATATTTTGCTGTATAATCTAAAGAGAAAACATCAGGCATTAGTTCTTCTATAATTATAAACCACTGCAAACTTCTTGTAGCAATCAACACAGAATCTTTGTCTTGCCTAAAAAAAAAATAACTTAATATAGTTTTCATTATCAATTTCTCAGAAATTAATTTATATTCCTAAGTACTAGACAAAGGCTTGAATTAGGTGCTGTTGTACTACACTTTCCTCTAGAATTTATTTTACTACTAACGTAAGATTGTAGGTAGGTTAGCTACTTCACCTGCTATGTCCATTCACCCAACTCTCCAGACTTCTTATGGTATTTATCTAATAGAAAATTCTTATCAAGTTATATTTTCTTCTTATTATGATTCAATAATCTGTAACTGTTCTCATGGTACCCAACCCTAAATAGTTTCTTGGAAAACTCAGTTTACCATTACTATATTCAATCAGAAAAATCACATATTTTTATTTTACTTAAATCAGGTTTGAAACCATACCACGTTTAAGCAAGATAATGTAAACAATCTGTAACTTAATTAATTAATTAACTTAATATCAGCCACAATTGCCTGATCTGATATTTCCTCTTCAAAATTCAAATAGGTGTGTCCCTTTCTCACCAGCAATAAGGTTCGACACATTCTTCCTGCATTACAATTTGGTGAAAAATTCCTGGGTGCTGAGTAACCTATCCTTATACCTTCTGAATCACCAAAATGAACAAATTCGTTATATTTTTAATACTAATTTAACTTCTGCATGAAAAAAACTACAACTCATTTCATGGGATTCGGTACTTTGTAAGGAAGAACTGTAACAAGGCAAATGGCTATGCAGGGAGGAGATCGGGCAAGGATCAAATTAAACCGCCATGTTTTCCCCCCTAATTAATTATTTAATTAAGAGTACCCACTTTATAGAGGCAGGTTGTGCTACAAAAGAGTCCCTCGACTCCAGGATCAATCCATAGTTGATGAAATAGTACCTGTCATCAGACCGGCATTTGAACCTGGCACCTTCAGCTTAGAAGTCAGTGAATTTCTGTCATAGACTTGAACAATTTCAATTTTCCCAAAATTTTGGACTTATTTCTAAGTCTAAGCAAATAAATGCAATCAAAATTGCTGTAATTATCAAAATAATAAGATCTAGTAATTATAGCCATCAGGCATTTTTGGAGATATTTTTCCACAAACATCTGATGAAACAATTTTAAAAACTACAGAGACTTTCCTTTCTTTTGAAGTGTGATTATAGAACTTGTGATTCTGAAATTTATATTTAGAAGAATGGCCCACTGTGTGGCCCATTGTTATACAACTATCGGAAGAGCTCTAAAAAGTTTTACAGAAACTGTACTGCACTCTAGAAGATAAGGTCAAGGTTGGCCAAGGTGTACAGAAGCAGTCAGTAGACAATAGATACATCAGGCAACAAAATCTGCACAAACCCAGCATCACTAGAATTATAGATTAGGAATTTCATTAGCCAAGTCCGAAATTAGTAGATTTCCATCAGGATTGTTAGAAGAAGGCTTATTGAATGTAAGCTTAAGGCTAGACATCCTGCCCATGACTCTCTGCTTACCAGGATTCATAAAATGGCCAGACTTTTGCCACCAGACAGATGGCATTTCTTTCGATGTGCATACGGTGTTGTGTTGTGAGGAAAGTCATTGACATCACACAGATAGTTGTACAACATAAATGAAGACAATGACAGCCCAAAAAAACAAAACAAGAATGGTGGATGAGGTCGGGATTGAGTGCCTACCACAGGATCCAAACTTAAACCCAATCGAACATGTCAGGGTTGCCTGACAACCTGTTGGACAGAAGTTATCATGATAAAATAACTGCAAGTTCCCTTCCCGATGCCAGGAGCCTTTTAACTCTGGAATTAAATCCTTGACCTCTCTCCTGATCTGGGAAAACCCCATATAAACTGCTAAGGGGAGGATAAAAAAAAAGGTTGGAATCCGTATTCTAGCACCCTTGAGGAACTGGAAACATCTATTCTCAAAAAGTGAGATAACATACTTCAGGACTTTATTGAAAATCTTTTCAAATCAATAGAAAAACATTTAAAGAGTGTAATTCTCGACAGGAATGGAAATACTCAATATATACTTTAAAAAATGTGAATATTTCTTTTAATTTGCTCTTTCGAAGTATATCATTTAGAGAATATTTTTTATTTTTCTAACTGTGTACTTCATATTATTAATGTAAAATAAAATTTTGTTTCAAATAACTAATTTTATCATTTAAAAATTTTGTTGGTCCAAAAAATTCTAATAAAGTGGATATCTTTGAAAAATGTAATGGTACATTAATTTTGTCCATCAGTGAATGTGCCAGATGGCAGCCAGAGAGTTCAACTATTATGCTAAGCTGTTCTTATATTTCCTGATAACATAAGAGGTTAAAATCAGTTCTGCAAACCATCACTTCCAGAAATTTAACTTTCAGAGGAGATCATATTAACTATTATGGCTCTGAGCATAATTAATTTTTATTGAGGGATTAAAAAAACGTCTATACTTAAAGTGTAAAGAGATATCAGCAAATGAAATAAAATATTCCATTTTTAATGTTACTCACCTCAATGGGATGATTAGTTTTATAAATCAACTTTTCATAATTCAAAATGTTAGATTGATAAATGCAAACTAATTTCATTCAATGAATCCAAATAATGTAACGAGCTTACCCTTGTCTTTCATGAAGTCTGATAATTGGCAAAAATGGCCAATCCAATGGAAGAGCAGATTGAGTTGAATTTAGAATTCCTGTTAATGTAACAGGTGGCCATGGAACTATAAGACCTTCAAATCCAAGTTCACAAATATACAACTTTTCTATATCTTTCAGTCTAAAATTCGGCAAAAAATAAAATTAAATAAATATAATCCTTATTAAAATAAAATATGAAATAGTTTTATTTTTAAAAACTTACACGGCAAGTGATTCATTTAAAAGTGAGAGTTTATTTATTTTGTTTGTTGAAACAGATTTATTTAATTTGAGATCTTCCATTCTCTTTGCCACAGAATCCACATCTAAGCTATGAAAAAATAATATTTTATGGTTATTTTAGAAAAATTTCATGATCAAAAATATAACTTCTCGTTCAATTGTAAAGTAATATCATTAAGTAAGATATTTAAATCAATTTATAAACATATAATATGTAAAATTCATTGTTGACATATTCTAATATTGTTGCAAATACTTGCATTCAGTTCATGACAAATCAGTAAACTATTTACATACATACATAAATGTCATAAATTATTTTTTTATTATTTAAAAAAATAATAACTATTATAAAATTGAAAACACACAATAAATATAAGAATAAGAATAATACAACAATTATAATAACATTAATGCATGATCATATATTTTACATCCTTATGGAAAATACACAAGAGTATCAGACAGGGCTTAGAAGAGAAACAAAGGGCCCCAGGAAGAAATTTTCTGGGGCACCCATCAAATATCAAATTCAACACTGAAACCCAACCCTTTCCTTAACAACTTCAGTAACAAAAATATCATGTAAAGATATTATGAAAATATCACAAAATATTTGCAATATTATGTTTTAAAAAATCTGGTGCTGAGTGTGCATCACATCTTTCACCCGTCTTTTAGCAGAAATATGTGTTTTCAGACAAATGAAATAGCTATAGTGAAAAAAAATGAAAATCCCAGCAGGAAAGTGAAGATGGTTTAAAACATTATTTACCGTATGTTTTTTCACAGTCTTGTAGTGTATTATATTTATGTTTTCTTGTCACTTACTATTTTCTTTTAGGACAGTAAATTTTAATTATTTATTTCAATATAATAAACAATTATATGCTATGAAATATTTTTAGTCCGACAAAAGTTCCATTGATAAAGAAGGCTGCTATATTTATTTATATTTCATTGAAGGTATTTTTGAATATTTAATAGTTGACCGTTGCATTATAAAGGAAGGAGATAGACCGGGGTAGCGGTCATAAATAGGCTAAATAGTGGTAAAACTATTTTTATTAAAAACAGGTATTTTTATTTGTTTAACTGTTATTATATATTCTTCTCCTATTTTCGAAATCAAACATCATAATTTCAATCCAGAAGACTTCTTTTTCTCCCATGTGTTCTACGATGAATTACTTTCCACTATCCTAAAATATCCCACTAATGATTATGATCCTGATAATATTCCAGTGAAACTAATAAAATCCAGCCTTCCTGTCCTTATTCCTGTTCTTTACCATATATTCAACTTTTCATTGCAAAACTCCATATTCCCATCCACCTGGAAAACTGCTCTGATCAGACCTTTGAATAAAATTTCCAACCCTATCTCATTGCACAACTTCCGACCTATTTCTCTCCTTTCCAACCTTCCAAAGCCGTTAGAAGGTCTTGTGCAAAATCAACTACCCACCTTCCTAGAGGAATGTTCCCTTATCAACCCATTCCAATCTGGATTTCGACCTGGTTACTCAACACAATCCGCTTTCATTAAAATAACCCATGAACTCCAAAACTCCAAAACCTTACTATCCTCATCCTTCTAGATTTTTCCAAAGCATTTGACACAGTTGACCATAACATCCTCCTCACTAAATCGCACAATCTTTCTCTATCCAACAGTACCCTGCATTGTTTCATATCCTTCCTTTCAAATCGGTCCCCGTATGTAGTTGTCCCAGGTCAACCTCCATCTAAAACCCTCCCCCTCTCCTGCGGTGTCCCTCAAAGTTCCTCTCTATCTCCTACTCTGTTTGCTATTTACACTGACGGGCAAAATTTTGAAAAAATTGATTTTTTCATCTAAAAATATTTCTGCTTTGGATTGGTCTATTGTTTTTAATGAATAGAAAGGTAATCTTTTGGTTGTTTTCAATTAGGAATGTTAATATAGAGGACAATAACCCTTAATCCTTAATTCAATGAAATGATTCTAGATTCCAATGTTTCCAAGATTGCAAAACGAACCATTATTATTCTAAAAGAAATTAATTACATCATCGTTTAGTAGTGTGTGTTTCCTCCTCTTACCTTCACTACTTCTTGAAGATGCCTCGGCATACTTTCCACCAGTTGGGAAATGTCCCTTTGCTAGAGGATAGCCCATTCTTCCCGAAGAGCCCTTTCAAGGTCCTGCAGTGTATCAGGAAGTGTTGCACGCGCTCTTATTCGTCTTCCAAGGTTATCCCATAAATGCTCAATGGGATTCAAATCTGGAGAATGTGCTGGCCAGGCTAAAACCTCAATATTGTTCTGTTGAAGGAACATCTGCATCGTGCATTAGAATAGAACGATCGCCGATTTCGTTGAGGATAGGCAACACATGAGGTTCCAAAATCTCATATACGTAGCGAATGGCCGTCAAAGACCCTCCACGAACAACAACCAATTCTGTGCGGCGCTCCATTGAAATCCCAGCCCACACCATTAAGGAACCACGTTGGAAAAGTTGGCTCTGGGAAAAAATTACAGGCTGCATATCTTTCGTTTCTTCTTCTCCACACCCTTTCACGCACGCCTGGAGATCGAAGAGCGAATCTTGACTCATCTGTAAAAAGTACAGCACTCCATTCGTCCATAGTCCAATGGCTGTGTTCTCGAGCAAAAGCCAGCCGTGTTACTCTGTGAGTTCTGGTCAACTCTGGTCCTCTTACTGGACGAAAAGCCATTAATCTATACTCATTTAATCTTCTCCGAGCGGTACGTTCAGAAATTCGCACACCTGAACTTCTTCGATCTGATGAATCGCTTGAACAATAGTAAGGTGCCGGTTTTATAAAATTCTCAAAGTCAAAAATCGGTCATCCCGTGGTTCTGTTACCCTAGGCCGTCCAGAACCGGGCCTTCTATTGTAAGAACCGGTTTCCCGAAAACGTTTGACGGCTTCTTGTAAAGTTTCATATGGAACTCCGATGGCATTAGCGGCATATCTAATGGAATGTCCATCATCAATAAGTGCCACACCACGCGCAACATCCTCAGCACTATAAGGCATTTTTAAACTAAATATTGAAAAAATTAAAAGCCGGAGACTAAGAAATGTGCTGCAGGAAACGGCACTGAACTAATGATACTGAATAAACATTTTGATTCCATAGAAAGTAAACATTGGAATCTAGAATCATTTCATTGAATTAAGGGTTAAGGGTTATTGTCCTCAACATATTAACATTTCTAATTGAAAACAAACAAAAAGATTACCTATTTATTCATTAAAAACAAGAGACCAATCCAAAGCAGAAACATTTTTAGATGAAAACATGAAAAAATCAAGTGGGTGGATTTTTTTGCATGTCAGTGTATATTAATGACCTTCCCCTCCTGATCCATCACTCCCAATACCATACCTATGCAGATGATTTCCAAATATATCTGTCCTTCCCACCTACCAACCTATTATCAGCAACAGAAAAACTTCAAGAAGACTTGGATAGGATTTGTGACTGGGCGAGAGCTAACAAGTTGAATTTGAATGCAGAAAAGACGAAGGCAATCTTAATAGGCTCCAATCACCTCCTTAAAACTGCTCCTAATATTCCAACTCTGTTCCTACATGATAATCCCATCAAATTCTATCCCTCCATCAAAAACTTTGGAATGATCTTTGATCAAACGCTTTCCTGGAAAAATCAAATATCCAACACCTCCCGCCATATCATTTCCACCTTAAAACGTCTAAATTACTCCTGTCACCTATTTCCCCTTGAAACCTGTAGGCTCGTAGTAACTTCCTTAATTTTTCCCCACTTTGACTATTGTTGTACGGTATATGGAGGCGTCTCTAGGGGATATTAAAACGTTTGATAAATTGCTTTGTACGATTCATCTTCGGGATCCCAAGGGACGCCTCTGTTTCCCGTTTTTATGCAGAGTTGAAGTTCCTACCATCGTAAGTATTTTCTGACATCCTTCCTCTTTCAAGTCATCCAATCCCACCATCCTTCATACATCTCCGAGCTCCTTCTATTCAAATCCTCTATTTGTTCCCGCAGTACTCGTTCCCGATCTTCTGATTTATACATAAGGGCCCACCGAACCGCTGCTTTTGACAGATCATTCATTATCCAATCCTCATCCCTATGGAACTCCATCCCTCCTCACAATCCAAAACACTTCCTACCTTTAAATCCCGCTTGTTTAATCATTTCTTATCCATCCAGTCGTCATAAAATTGTAAATAGTTACTACTGTAAATATGTATATAAATTATTAGATCATTATTCATTATTTTTACTTCATGTTTATTTTCATTTTTTTATTTTTTATTATTAACTGATTTAAATTAGAAAGTAACTTATAATTTCTTATTGTGACTATTTAATTAAACTATATTCTTGTTTATGTATCACTGAGGCTCCTTAGCCCACATTTTTGTCTTTCTGTATTTTTCTAAAGGGACTCGTCCCAGAATAAATAAAGCATTATTATTATTATATATATAAAATTTTAAATTTGTATATTGCTGTAATCTATAAAATTAAATATTAAATAATACCAATAATAGCATTTATGAAAACTGCACATGTATACGCATACTATATTATCGCAGTCCGTATTATATTAAGCACATATTACGAATGGAAACCGTTTTCTAACCTTTCAGCCAAGCTCGGGTGCGTGCTTGCGTTTTTTCAGTTCCCAATTATGATCCCTTACTTCTCCTTTAGCTAATTAGCAAATTCTTTCATATTTTATATTTAACTTTTTTTTATAGCAGGTTACAATGTGAAATGGTTAATAACTTCAATTAAAAAAAAAACAAAAGTACTTTAGAGGAAGAAAATTTGAAAATTAGGCATTGAAGCCCCATTAGAAGATACCAATCAAAATTGCTTGATTTTATATTGAAATAATGAATTTAATAAAAATTGTTAGAGCTATTATCAAGAAAATCATAAAAATGTGTAAAATCGATGATATAGGTGGCACTTCTGGTTAGCCCAATTTGACAAAAAATGTTGCTGTAACATCCCAGGCATATAAAATTTTTCATAATAGGTAAGTGAAAGTAAAAATTTAGAAGGAAAAAAATAAAACCTTGTATGGGAATAAACCTGACCCCGTCTGGAGGCTACAACAACCCAAGCTGCCTCTCCCTCTCATAGGGTCAGAAAACAGACAGCATTAAACTGCCCATTTTTATTTCACACATAGACTGTGATGTGGGCAAGCACAAAACTTTTTTCATTGGTAGAATTTTTTGAATATGTGATATATGATTATTGATGTCCCTTTGAAGTCAATTTCGAAGCATGTTCGACATGAGCACTGAACATGTTAGGGAACATTTAAATGGGGAAAAAAAATAAAGAATTTTGAAAAAGAGACTTGCTCTATAAATTAGTAAGAAGGTAAGTAAAATATAATAACAATGATTAAGTGCGGTGCCCGGAGGAGTTTTTAAATCCCCGCCCACACTCCCTGGCCCGGGAAAACCCCCGTATTGCCTTAAAGGCGAGGAGGACAAAAAAAAAAAAAAAAAAAATTCAGTTAATAAAAAACATTATGAAATCATTTGATACATACCTTAAGAACTTTCTATTAAAAATGGTTTTTGAAATGATGTCAGGAAGGAGTGCTCGATCTCCAGTTTGAACAGAAGTCAACAATTTGAAAGCCAATTTATGGAATATTCCCTGATTTTCTCTTATCTAATAAACACACAGTGAACAAATGAGGTATTACAAACGAGTAAAGTTTACTTGAAAACATATTAAATACTGAAGATTATTCTGAAACTAACTTCAACTGCAGTAAACATATGAACAAGAACAACCAAAATATTAAGTTCTTGTCTTGCGTACCAGTGGCCACATAAAGTTGTTATATTGTCACCTCTCAGAATACTTCTAATATAGCCGAGAATTTCGATATGATTTAGAAAAATTTCTTTAAACTGTAAAAATAGAAATGAACATTAAGAAAACTGTAGAAAATACAAATAACCTAATAATTACAGTTACTTGATACTTACAGTATTATTGTTAGAAACTACAATATAAGCAGCCAATGCATACAGAAATGGAAGGGTACTTTCTTCTCTAACAGTTGGAGAAATACAACCCAAGCAAGGCAAATTTTCAGGGCTTGAAATAATTTTACCATTTATCAACCATGAACACTTCCTATACAGAAATTAAATAATAAATTTTACCCAGAAATCAGAATATATATTAAATATGTAAATACATTAAAACATTACTTGGAATTACTAGGAAAATTTAGACACTGAAGTAACCAGAATGTAGCACGTGTGAATAGTGTGTTAGGTGCAAAAATCATATTTATGGAAAAACACAATTGAAAGTTTGGACAGGTGCAAGTTCAATTTTCGAGTTTTAACCCATAATTAGAAAAGGAATATTCATCTCTGCAATAGCCATATAACAGCCCAGTGGACACAAAGAAAGAGAGGATAATTAGCTTTCTGGTGATACCCATAAAAATTCCCAAAATTGCACTTAACACACTGTTCGCAGATGCTACAGATATATATGTATAAATTATGTAATATTTGTTTAAGTAAAAACCTGAGATTTTGAATGCTTTTTGTAAAGTTTGTACTTAATAATAACTTTTCAATTACAGGTTCAAGTACACATTTACTGTTCTGAAAAACAAAACAAAAAAGAAGTATTTATAAAAACTCTGGAACATGCATTTTTACATGTTATGTTAAAATATTTACTGGATTTTTAAACTCACAAAGTCGTTGTATATTGCAGCAAACAATGTAAGACAAGACCCTAATAATTTTGATGCCGAAAACTGAAAAAAAAAAAAAATTGATTACAACTTTCAAAACCACAGATCATTTATTTCTTGATCATTCAGTAAACTAACTTTAGGATTGGGAACTTTGATGTATTGTGTACACCACTTAATAGTAGCCTGCAGTAGAAGTGGAAGAATGTGTCTCACTTGACCAAAATTAAGCTTAGCAACAACTGCTATCGTAGATATTAGGGCTGCTCCATGTTCTAAATCAGAATTAGAACCATCTATATTGGTTAAACCTAAGTGAGCTTCAGCCAGCTTTACAAGCACAGGGCTAAGGTACCTATTATATTATAAATTCATTAGAAATTAATTTCCTTTAGACAAAAAAAAGTGATTCCTTAATTAAAATTCTTACATGATCGTATCTACACCAATATTGTAACACAAACAGGATTGCCAAGTATAAAAACTCTCTAATGTTAAGTGCATAATTTCAGGGTGTCCAGCAGCTTTTTCACTGTAACATATTAACATAAACATCAGGGGTAAATTATTGTAACATTTTCGAAGTTTTATGGAGAAATAAAGTTTCAGATCACACTGTGTTGTGGATAGTGGTCAATCTTTAAATTTGAAGTATTGTATATTTCTTACCTTTCCATATTATTTATGAAATGAAATGAAAATGAAAATATTTTTTTGTATTATCCTGAGACTGTTGTCCCTTTAGGACAAATTACAGCTACAGAATAAATGCCTGCGTGACCATTCATAAAATTAATTATTTACAATTCTTATTAAGATTAAGATTTTGGACAGAGAATAAAACAACAAATAGAACTATTACAATAAAAACATACTGACAAGTATAACACAAACGTGGTACAACAGCATAATACAAACAGCATAAGTAAAGAAAATCATTTCTGGGGAACTATAAAAGTTCTCTTATCTATATTTCATGATCAATCGGGTTGGGAAAGGAATAGGTGGTTAAAAAGGAGAGTTAAATGAGGAAACTGATTGTACATGTCGGATATCTGGAGGGATGGTATTTATAATACTTATATTTAAAAAATATGGCCAGAATAATCAAAATCAAACTCAAAAGCATGTATAATTTAATAAAAGATAAAATAATTTTTAAAAGTTAATTTAAAAAATAATAAAAAAATAACAATAATGCTCACCCAGCAATAAATGTAAAAATTGGTTTTTGTAAGTCATATTTCTCAAATATTGCTAAAGCCAATGAATGAGACCTAGAAGCAATTATTCGGAATAATTTTAGAGCTTCTGGATAATATGAAAGACCATTTTTAATATCCACTGAAATAAAAAATCAATACAGATAATATGACAATATAAAGGAAGAAAGATTGAACACAATTTGTAATAAAACCACACTAGAGGAATAGGACAATTTTTAAGCACATCCGATTTTAGGGAGGATGCAAGATACATGCAACTTCGCAACCCAATTTTTTAGAAAATAGAATTCCATAAATTCACATACAATTTTTTTAAATCGAAACATTTCCCTAAAAAATAAAATTAAGCACAATTTTTTCTGTACTTCACTGACTGCAACCTCTATTCAGGAAACTCCATCTCGACCATACCCCACATTAAGACCTGAATAGTTGGGTCGAAACGGCTTCAAATATAATAGTTTTTTTTTTCCACTATTTTACATTTTTTTAGGACCGCCACCCCCCCTTTCTTTCCTCAACAATTAAATAATAATTGTTTGTCTCCACCCCTTTCTTGTTCAGTTACATATAATTTTTGTTTACAAAATTGAAAACAAAAGCATTGTTCTAAAGTGCTTAGTAAATGGCAACACAATTTATGCCTAATTTTTTTAAAAAACTAATAAATCACATATTTCTTACATAATTTTCTAACTGCTTCAAGCAATCCTGGACAAGTAAATACACTGTTTGCCATTTCAAAAGAATGTCTTGATATTCTGATCAATGTTTTCAGCAGCTGTTTTATCTCCACTGGTTCTGGGTTTAGGTACATAAGGATAAACCTAAATCATAAGTTTGAAAGGTTACATTGAAAAAAATGTTGATATATAATATTCATACAAAACAAATATATGAAAAATTCAATTTATGTAGTACTTGATTCGCTGAAGAATATCTGTACGTAATGCTCCCCGAATAATATCAAGTTTAAGAAGTTGTTGGTCTTTTAATTCATCAATTTCATTAGGTTTCATTTCCAAAATAACTCCCAAAGAAGGCTGCTGTATGCCCAAAGGTGTTCCTAACATATTGTCTAAACAAGCCTGTACATAAAAATAAAGTTGAATACAATTTCAACATAATAAAAACTTTTGATTGAATACTTAAAATACTAACTAACTTCATCAATATGATTAACCAAAAGGTTACATATTGCAGATGAGGCAGCCATTACTATTGGTAGAGCTGGATCATCCAGAGAGAATCTCAATAACAAAAACATATCAGCTTCTAATAACGCAGGGAGTATAGGCTCATTGAAGCATTCATCATACATGGAAGCCTATAAAATAATAAAACATTTAACTTTTGTATTTCAGCATTTTCACTCAAGACAGAAATAAAGAGTAACAAGAAAAAGGATTACTAATTGAATGAATTTCCATAAGAAATAAAAAAAGTATATTTTTTATTTATATTATATTAATACAACGAATTTATTGAAAAAAAAAGTATTTACAAATGTATGGTATTTATTTATAGCCTAACCACCCCTACCTTCAATAAGTGGTGTTAACTAGTGGGTCCAGGATTTAATTTTGGGGGAAGAGGCTTCAGCTTGAAAGCTTTTTTTTCCATATATATCCAACAATAATTAATTTGGAATAAAAGAAGATACTAACTACCTATATGAAATAGTGTTTAAGTGATTCTTGAACTCCTATTAAATGAACAATAATACTTAAAGAGAATATAATATAAAAATTTTTAAATATTTTTTAACATAAAACATAGTTATATTTTACCATTTGGGAGGGAGGGGGAGGGGCTTCAGCCCGAAAGCCTCCCCCTCCCCTCGTTGATCCACCTGTGGTGGTGTTTAGCACAACTTACTATAAATCATAAACAGGTGTGATTTTCCAAAAATCTCCAAGGGGATGTTTTCAGCCTATTCAGGAAAACATACCTGTTAATTGCAAGGACTACGAATCCCAAAACGTATTACCTACTAACTGAGATAATGAAAAATACCCCAACTTGTTTTATTACAAATCGAAAATCAGTATTAAGAATGAAAGAAACTTCACAGAAAGAGAGAGAGAGAAAAAATTCAAAATCATTTCTTGCAATTACAATTTCCAATAACAGGGTTTAAATTATTACCACAGTTCTCTCATAAAAATATGCCAAATCGTAGGTGAACCCAAGCACCAGTAAATTGAAAATAACACCACTTCTAGGACATTTAAAAGGTAAGTTTATTCAGGTTAAAACAGAGGTCTTCAAACCCTAGGCCAACCACAACTTAACACAATTTAGAAAGTTCGGGAATTGGAATTGGCACACAGCCAGCCAGTAGGCTTTATATTTTTTATTTACTTATTGTTTAAAAAAAGTTCAAACAAAAATTACAGTTTAATATTGTTTGAGGGCGGGGTGTGCACAGCATCAATGTTGCTCGGCAACCTGATGAAAGATAATTAGATAAAACAATTAAATATTCGTGTCTAGGTGCCGGAGGGGAGCTTTTAAATGTGGCAATAATGCCTCGCCCTAACCTCCTGCTCCAGAAAAATATCCTCGCCTAGAAGACGAGGATGAAAAAAAAAGAAAAGAAAGTTTAATATTGTTGGTAATTAAAACATATAATTTTGTTTTTTGTATACTAAACTGTCCTCGGCTTGTATACTAGTTTTTCCTCGGATTGCCAACTGTGCATACTTATATTATATCATTACACAGTAAAAAAAAAATAATTTTTATGCAATGATAACGTGTGTCAAACTTTTTGTTTTGTAACCAAATTTTAAATATTAAAAAAAAATTATTAATATGCATTTTGCCAATGCTAATTCTTTCACAATTTTCATTGCTTCAATTAATAATGTGCATAGCAGTCACTTTTAATCTTTTCTTATGTTTCGGAAATGAATAATAAGGAATTTTAAAACATAACTTCATACAAAATTTAAATTAAACAATGATTCTCACATTAGCCATTATCTTCGCAAGAGTATTAAGAGAAATTACTCTCTGTTGCAGAACTGAACTTCGACTTAGTTGTATAAGTTCTTGTAATGTGTAACCCGGGCGTTCTGGTTCTTCCCCATGATTATGTAAACCTTGGAGTATTCCTTCTCCTTTGTCAGAATGAGGAAGTAAGTTACCTATCAACAATCATTATTAAACATAAAAAGATCATCAATAAAGGTAGAAATATCATTTATTTATAAATATTTTACAAAAAATCCATACAGAAACACTAATAATTCACTTTGACAAATCATATCGTGAGTTTATTGCAAAAAGCCATCAAGTAACACTTCACAAAATTAAATTACTAAGCACTTTTAATGACTTCTCCTGCTGTGGAATTAAAACATAGTGTACTTAGTGTAAAATATTTTTTGTTTTTTTAATGTAATAGAGTTTGTCATCTTGATGCACTTCCTATGTTTTTGGGAGGATAAATAAGGTCGGAATTCACAAAAAAGTAATATAAAAAAAGAGTAAGCTTAGGCCTATCAAAAATGCATTTAGTGATTTTCAGCAATAGACTGATGATATATTTAATAAGAAGGGAGAGGGATAGCTCAGTGGTAGGGCACTAAGCTCCCAATGCACAAGGTTCCAGGTTTGAATCCCAGCCCATGGCAGAAAAATTATTTATTCAGTGTAATTGGACGTGGGGTGACCCTGGGGTAGGAAGAATCTCTTAGGGCAAACCCGGCCTCTACAAAGTAGATACCCTTAATTAAATAATTGATTAAGGGGGAAAACCTGGCAGTTGAGCATGATCCTGGCCCGATCCCCTCCCTGCACAACTGTTGGCCTTGAAACAGTACTTTCACTAAATAGTAATGAACCCAAGAGCTTTCATGGGTTGTAGTGGTATAGGTTTTTTATATATAATAAGAAGTGATGGTTCTTTTCATTTAGGTCACTAATACCCAACCTTTGTGGTTCTATAATTCTCTGTCTTTTTTATAGAACTCATACATATGATAATAGACAAATAATTGTTAATATAAATTACATTAATATATTGTGGTTACAAAAATAAGTAAGAGTTATAAGGTTAACACTGAGGGGAAAAAAGTCTGTCAAAAAAGGTCTATAACTTCTCCACCAGTTTTATTGAGTAAACAAAAGACCAAGCACGTTCTTGAAACATACAATTTTTGAAGAAAATACATTTTTACATGCTTATGCAATTAGAAGATAGAATTTGATAAAATTGATACAGGACAATTTTTGCACCAGTCCTCTACTTTCCACTGACTAACTGGATCATTAGTCTCTTATTGACGATAGACCACTGATTAACTCTGAGCGTGAATTATTTTCTAGAATTTACTATTACCTTACACAGGGGGTATCACAAGCAAATGATAATTTTCAAGGGGTCGAATACCCTATTCAAGACCACAAAGAAACTGTTAATATCATATTCCAAAATATTTTTTAATTGGGAGAAAATTAATACTTTTCTATTTCCACAAAACTTTTTTTTTTTTAAATAACACAATATTTTATTTTTCTGCTAGAATAAAGTAAAATCTGATCATGGATTCATATTCTAAATACAATTTCTTGTTAGGAAACAATGTTTAACATAGAAAATCTAATTGGTGGAAAGAGGAAGTCATTTTAAGTAAAAAAAAATTAAGTATTTTCAATTTTCAAACATTTTTACTTGGCTTAAACTTTTCACCAACATCCTGTATAGCAACTTTAATTTCGAAAAACATGGATTCTTTATTTAAATCCAAAATGTATAGTGATCTCTGATCTTTGTTAACAAATATTCTAGTGGGTTCATTCATCTCTATCTTTTAAAACAGTATATTGCAATGATCTGTCTAAATCTATAAAATATTATTTAATCGACAGAAATTAAATCCCCAATCGATGATAAGCCATCTTTGGAAAAACGTAGCTTAGAAGTCTTAAGAACTTAACAATAAGAGAAAAATGTATTGCTTTAATTTATAGATAATAAAGAAAACAATAAACGACAATTCCAATTATTTTAATACATAATAGCTCTTGCCTTCAAAATTAAATCTAGCAGGATAAGGATCATCCGGTAACTTAACCTGCAGAGGCAAATAACCAGTCCATTGCAACTTCTCTTTTTCAACAACATCCATATGTGGGTATTTATGTACAAGATCTTTCACATCTTCTAATGGCACGTCATCATTAGATTTTACAATATCATTATTAATTAATGGCATGTCTTCAACTACCAAAGGTGTAGATCCAGATATTTCCATGTTTATGTTATGTTCTTGAACATTATGATTTCTAAAAAAAAAAAATAGAATTATAAAAAGCAGATTTTATAAAAATATACAGATACACACAATAGGGAATAAAAAAAGTAATACTCTGCATCGTTTGAAACTTCCATACTCTCTTCGTTTTTATGACCAAGAGAAACATTTTTGCGACGATTTCTGAGAAAATCTAAAATATTTGGATCTAATTCTGAAATAAGTTTCTGACGTTCAAGTGACAGTTCTTCAGCATTCATGCTAGACAATTTTTGGATGTTTTCTTGATGAATTTCCTGAGCATTAGTCCCAGATATTATAAAACTCCTTTCTCCTGATAACAGGAAAAAAATTCCAATAACAGTTTTTACACAATAAACAAAATAATAGAACAGAACAAATAATATGACTTACCAAATACTTTAACAGGATCGGACAACTTATCAGAACTAGATGAATTTAATTGACATTTATTTTCCCTTTCTATTTTCATTCTTTGTGCAAAAATACTTTTTCCCCTTTGAGCCATGGTAATGAAATAAACTAGCACACAAGTAGTTTTCAATCTTCAATTAGTTAAAAGCAGCTAAGTAACTTAATATATAAGCATGAATGACACAAATATTGGTAGATTTAGGGATGGTAAATCGATGTACTAGCATTAAATAAACTCATTGAGTATGTTCAAAACCTCACATATTTAAACTTATGAATGAAACAACACATTCATCACAACACACTTTGACAGATCCAAATATAACCAAAACAAAAGGGACCTATTCAAACGAACCGCGTTTCAAAAGCAGCTAGATAAAATAGCTTCTCTACTAAAAAATCGTTCACATACTTTTTATTGATCCCATTTTCTACCTAAAAAAGATTATTTGATTACAATTATCTATATTTTCATTCGACAATAGTTAGTATCTTGTAAAGTTAATCACAGAAGCATTGATAATGTCAACGTCAATTTCAGCTGCTTAAGCTCCAACAATCAGAAACGTAAAATAGTTTTTACATAAAATATATATATAAAGATAATTTTCGGAAATAATATCCGTATGCAATGATATTGAGTTCTTTTATGTTTAGCTTCGGTTTAATTCAGCAGTGTACTTTAGAAGTGTTGTACAGTTGTTTATAACACTATCTCAGCTCACCGTAACACACGTATTCTTATGTTCTTTCAACAAGCCGAAAATGAATTACTCACCTTTGATATTTCTTTTGTCTTATGAAGCTTTTTTATTAAGCTTACAAGTTCAGAAATGCGCCAGTTTTTATTTACCAGGGTTAGCCCCTGTTAACTATTGTAAACAATCAGAACTCGTTTCCTCTCAAAGTTGTAAGGTGAGAAGTTTTACTATCTACTATTATTATGTTAAATATATTTCAGTTCACTAAAGTTTATGTTGTTTCTTTTCAGTCTGAAGTTGATTTATTTGTAAATAGATTGAATACTGAAGAATCTGTTATACCATTCGAGTATTATCAGTAAGTAGTAATTGATTCATCTTTCTTATTAAGTGTATAATACCATTTAAACAATTTGTTATTTCTGTTTTAGTTTTGACTTTTGCACGGCCTCAAAAAATAGTAAGTCTCCCACAGAAAACTTGGGCCAAGTTGTTTTTGGTGAAAGAATTCGTCCATCCCCTTACAAAGTAAGATAAGCTATTAATTGTATAAAAACATTGGCGTTTATTGTTTTCATTGTATAATTTTGCAATTTTCACTTCAGATCAGTTTTTTGAAAAATGAAACATGCAAGCATCTATGTAGCAGAAAATATACTGGCGGAAATCCTGCAGATATGGCCAAACTTGATATTCTTAAAAAAGGCATGAGTTTAAACTATCAACATCATTGGATTGTTGGTAAGATATTCAATTGTGACAATAAATTTTTAGATTTTGTGGATGTATTGAATTATGATATGATCTTTGGCTGAGGGTAAAATTCAAGCGTGAATATATGTATGTATTTTTTTCTCATTATACACATTATTATTATTGAAGGATTTTTTATGAGCATGTTTTATCTGTCAGGGTTTTGCATCGTTCAGATTTGTTAAGTGATTACTCAAGAATTGTTAAGTTGGATATAATTGTAAGATTTTATTTTTTAAAATCAGTTTATGGTGTGTACAGAATTTGAAATTTAAGTTGTTGTGTATTGCATCATTGTTGAAAGCTTATGAAGTCATCCATATTACTAGAAAGTAACCAAGAATTAAATTTTTCCTTTTTGATATTTTGATCATGAGATTGAACTTCATGTTATCATACAGGATAATAATGAATAAAATACTTATGGATTCTAATACTGAATCCAATAAGGATTTTAATAAAGTTTATTAATTTCCTATGATAATTATGCTAAGTGCCAAAGAAATTAGTTTTCCATTTTTATTAGAATTGAAAGAATTAAAACCTATTTCCAATTTGCCTTGCTTTAATGACATGGTTTAAGTAAATTACTTTATGGTAGCTTAAAATTATATTAATGGATCGCCAGTTTTACTTTTGAAAATGAATTGAAAATTTTTAAATTACCATCAAATATGTACATTTATTCATGATTAATTTTTTTTATTTTGTATTCATATATAAAGTATGTATATTTTATAGGCTTTATAAAGTATGTATTTTCTTGAAGAACATAGATACTATTTCTTTATTCTGCAATATAACTAGACATAAATTTTCCTTATTGTTTAAATTATTAAATTATAATTTAAAAACTTCATCGTATAATTTATCATTTTATCATCAGTGTTCTAGCAAGATTTGGTGAATTTTGAAAAATAAAAAAAAATCGTATTTGAAATCACTATTTCTTCACTTAGTGAACTGTATATTTTTACCTGGAAAATATCTCCAAGTTTTTAATGTATTTACTTGATCGTAATTTGATTCATAAATTCATTTAGTACATATTGGTATGTTGTTTTTTACCAGGTAGAAATCATGATCATTAAAAATTAATTAACTAGATTTGGTGATTTTTGCTCGAAAACTGGTAATATGAATAATAGCTTAATATAATTAATATCAGATCATGTAGTAATTTTTCTGATATTTAGATCTAAATTTTTTATTATTCCTAATAAATAAATTAACTTAATTTAATGAGAAAGTAATGAATAATGATTACAGCTACAGTAATACAAAATAAATAGCTAAAGTGATACTGATTGACCTTAGAGGTATGGATATTGTGAAATGGTTGAAAGAAAGAGATGGAGTATTTTATTGGAGGAAGAAGGACATATATCCTTTTACTTTCACTTACCCATATATGTAATATATTGTAAGGGAAAGTATTACGATTGTTAAAATGTTTGAATCTGAGTTTTCAATAGAAATACAAGTTTTTAGGTCCCCTCAGTCCTGATAACCAAATCCACAAAATGGTTTGTGTGTGAACAGTTGTAGCTCAAAAATGGAAAGTAGTACGAAACTGAAAATGCATATTTTAGTTAAGTATATGCCTGGGATGTTACAGCAACTTTTTCTTAAAATTGGCTAACCGGAAGAGCCACTTTATTTCATCGATTTTACATATTTTTACAATTTTCTCAAAAATGACTAATGATTTTTATTAAACTTGGTCTATCAATGTATAATCAAGTGGTATTTAATATAATATAATTTAGGTTTTATCCTCATTGATTTCGCTTAACAGGGCTTAAATGCTCAATGCTTTCGAAATTTCTTCCTTTTAAACACCTTTAATTTGGTTTATTTTAAATAATTAACTATCCCTCATTGTTATCAGTTTTGAAAAAAATGCTAAATATAATTGAAAGAATTTTATCATTGTATATAAGAGAAAAAAAAAAAGGAAAAATGTTTATTTAGGTTGAAAATGAATCTCCAGAAATAATAATTATAAGGCATACTTATAATATATTATAATCAGTTATAGAGTATCTCTCTAACAGTCAAGAGCTTTACTAGTGGTTCTCCCTATCTTATATGATTTAAACAGTGACTTGAAGACTTTTCCGCTTTTTTTTTCACAATTACTTCGTTTCGTAATATCACATTAATATTACAATACAGTTATTTATGGTGATAGTAGTTATATAGTGAAAAAAGAAAAAAAAAAAAAAAAAGGACGTGATAGAAGCAGCTGAGTTGGAGTAGTGGGGATAGCTAGCATCGGCCTAATCCTACCAGCCTTCACCCAAACAAGCAGGTGCCTTTGTTGTTGTTGTTGTTATTACTTTCGTTTTCTCTCATTTTAAAGCAATTGTGACATATTTATCTATTTTATTTTTTCAAAATGGTTAATTGCAAACTATACGGAAAAACGGCAGGTAGAGAAGACAAGATTAAATTGACTTGTGTCACATGTCAAAACATCTTTCATGCTAAATGCACGAAAATTGATTTGACAGACTCAGAAGGCCCAAAAGAAGCCAGTAAAAAATGGAAGTGCACCGATTGCGAAACAGGGTCGCGTACATTGCCAGCCACTGAGCCTAATACTATGATAGACCTACTGAGGACTCTGGCCAAGGAAGTAAGGGAGTTGAAGTCCAAGCTTCAGGGTTTAGACGAACTAAAGAAAATAAAAGAAACCCTCCAGAAGCAATCGGAACTATCTTTCAAGAATATGGAGCGATTATTAAAAATTGAAACACTCCTGGAAGAGCAAAAAACCCATACTGAAAAATTAACCAAGGAAAATAACACACTGAAAACAAAAATATCCGAGCTGGAAAGCCGCCTGAATTCCGCAGAACAGTTTCATCTCGAAAATACAATTGAAATTAGAGGAATTCCGGAGAAGGCCGGCGAAACTGTAACTGGCACGATTCTTAGCGTCGGAGCGGGTCTGGGCGTCAAGTTGAGTCCGGATGATCTCGATCACACTGTGGGACTAAGACTCAAGCAAGAAGGGACTCCAGCCCCAATTATAGTCAGATTTGTCAGACAAGCGGTGAGAGATGAGCTGGTGTGGCAACCAAGAGCGAAGAGAGATTTCTCTACACGCCATCTAGGCTGGGGAGAGAACGACTCGCACCGCGTCTACGTGAGTGAAGCCATGACGCCCACCAATAAACACCTTTATTGATTAGCCAGGCAGAACAGGGTGACAGCAAAAATAAGATACGTCTGGTTCAGTGGGGGTAAAATTCGTTGCAGACAATCAGATGGAGGTCCAGTAGTAATTATAGAAAAACCAAGTGATCTGGACGTTTTCAGCTGAACTTTGTATATAAGTTACCTTCAGCTTGCAATTAATTTACTTTCTCTCGCTAGAAATATATTTATTATATTTTTTTCATTTCCAGCTTTCTTTATTTTTTTTATAAATGTAGCTTCTCTTGTTTTTTTATTTTTGTATCAATTTTTACTCATCAGAAATATTATTATTTTAATTTTAAGCTTCTTTTATTTTTGTATAAATTATTTAGAACTTTATTCGATTCCTTGCCAATTTTTATCAATTTATCTAGACCAAGGAGAAATTTATATTTTCTTATGTTATAAATTAATTTTAACTGAATATTTATTTCGAAACACCGAAAATTTATTTTTTTCATCTCAAAGTTTATTTTATGTAAGCATTGTTTTTTTATATTTATAAACTTGACATTATGCTTAAAAAATGCTATATCCTATCCTCCATCCTTGATCATTTTTTTTTTTTTTTCCAAAATCCTACTTCCCAACCCTCCAGTCATGACTAATATCCTGAATTCCTGTCACATCAATGCAAAATCCCTTACGGCGCACTAGAATGAATTTCAGGAACATTTCCTTGATAATTTTTACCACATAATAGCAATATCCGAAACCTAGTTAAAACCTTTTATCCCTTACTCCCAGATTTCCCTACCCAATTATTCCTTCCTACTATTGTAATAGTATAGAAAAGTAAAATTGTAAATAGTTACTACTGTAAATATGTATATAAATTATTAGAGCGTTCTTCATTATTTTTATTTCATGTTTATTTTCAATTTTTTGTTTTTTTTTTTAACTGATCTAAATTAGTAAGTAACTTATAATTTTTTTTTTTTATTTTGACTATTTAATTACTGTATATTTTTGTTTATGTATCTCTAAGGCTCCTTAGCCCATATTATTGTCTTTTTATATTATTCTAAAGGGACTCGTCTCAGAATAAATAAAGCATTATTATTATTATTTCCATTCTTTATTCTCGCTTTGTGGGGTAAGTTTCTGAGGTGGGAGACCAGAAGTCCAGCCACTTCAGATTAATATCTATTACTTTTTAGATATTTAAAAACTTTCGAACAATACGTGCCGTATCCAAGAGAACTGAATGTTGAGCCTCTTTCAGCACTTCAAGAGGTAATTTTAATCCCATCGTGCCTGCCACTGTTGTCTTTGGTATCAATCCATTGGAGGATATTATAATTGGAGTGGTGGTGACGTTCCCCAAATGATATAATTCCTTCAGTTCGATTGCCAGTTCCTGGTATTTTCTCAGTTTTTCTCCAACAGTGGAGCTTATATTATTATCATTGGGGATCCCGACATCAATAAGCTCTGCTCTTTTCTCTCTCATGTCTATCAGAAGGATGTCTGGTTTATTGTGACGCACAGTATGGTCAGTTATAATCGATTCATCCCAGTAGAGCTTGAGGCTACCTTTTTGGAGGAGTTTATTTGGGTGGTACTTATAATATGGAATTTTGTCATCTAACAAGTTGAACTTCACCGCCAGAGCCTGATGAAAAATTCTAGCCACATTGTTATGCCTCTAGAGATACTCGGTGCCAGCCAACACTCTACACCCACCTGTGACATGTTGGATTGATTCCAGCGTCGCTGAGCATAATCGACATTTATCCTTATAATAATAATATTATTATTATTATTATTATTATTGTTGGAAAGCAAAAAATTTCAGATGAAAAAATATCTGATAAAGAAAGTCATAGATGGTAATTTAAAGTAACAAAAAAATTATCTCTCTATTATATCAAAAAGCTTTTAGTGACTTTCATATTCTATTTTATTTATGTATTAGGAGAGTGGTGGTTCTACATAAAAATCACAGGGCTCACTGGGACTGGAGTTTTCAGCCAATAATGGTCTTAGACAAGGAAACCCCCTGTCAGCAACTCTCTTTAATTTTTCCATGGAGGTAGCAGTAAGAGGCATTATAACCAATCCTGGAGGCACCATATATAACCGGTACACAAAGGTATTGTCCTATACTGATGATGGCCAGCTGGTAGCCAGAACGCTGGAGCGTTGGAGGAGTTGGAACAAGAGGCAAATAGATGAGATCTCAAGATCAATGAGAAGAGAAGGAGATGAAATACATGAAGAGCACCCACAGATGCCACCACTTACAATTAATATTAATGGTCATAACTTCCCAGTTTGTTGGGCTTTTTTGGATATCTTGGAAGATATGGTGTGGATATCTTGGAACACTAGTCACTGAAAAGAATGAACTTCGCAAGGAGATAGAGGCCAGAATAGAATCAGGAAATCGTTGGTTTTTTGCAGTACATAAAGCTATGTATGTATCATTCTGGGACTAAAGTTCCTGCAGAATAATAGCAGAGTTAAAAAAATATATACATCAGTCTGACATGTGGATATAGGCACTAAGAAGGGAGCTATTTTTCTTTCTTGATGAACTTCTCTATAACCTGCCTTAAAGTGAAGACAGTATGAGTTTTACTATACAATCTGTCAACTATTCATTATATTTAGTGCAGATTAGGTATATATTATTTTAGTTCATAAAACAGGTATTAATATACTCATTTTCGAGGAAGTAAATACAATTTGAACTACCTCTTAAGAATCAGTAAATTTACAAAACCAAGTGTTAAATTGCAAACGTTAAATAAAAAATTCAAGATATTCAGCAAAGTATTTTTGAATTAAGTTTTATTATTATAATTATATAATTTTTACAATAGTTCTTACTTCTTAAATGACCTCCTTTAAATTTAAAATTTCTCTTTCTTCACGATTTAGGATAATCGTCATATATTGTTGTATGACGATTATGTATTCTTGTCGTTAGTTGATTGTAATATGGATTTTAATTTTCAATTTTGCATTTTAATTTATTTTTGTGACATAATATTTTAGTTCAGAAGCTAAACATGAGATTTGATATGATTTCGAAGTATTAATATTATAAATTTAACAAAATAGATGATTTTTGGACATTTTAAGGTGTAAATTAGACAATTTAACATATTTTGGGTTTTTACTATATGATATTGCACATTTTGAGTTTTTTGCTGCACATTTTTCGGATTTTTATTCCACCAAGATCCGGTCTCTAGTGATAGTAATTAGATAGAGATATTAGAAGAACAATATTTACTTTATTATTCCTAGGTAATTTAATAAACTTTGCTGCATTGATAATATTAGTTTTACATTTTTTTTTATTCTAGATAACATGCCAGTCACATGGTGCTATTTATTGGATGATATGAGGCATTGTTGTGTTCCGGGATTTCCAATGGGTTGTTATGTTGGAGACAAGCTCAATCCTGAAGACATATGTAACATGAATGTAAGGAAACTTCATTTAGTAAAACTAATGTAATTAAGCTTTGCAATTTTTTCTTTATTTGGTTTTTATGAGTATTTTCAAAAACCTAAACTTTATTGTTTGTTCACTGTATGTTGTTTTACAAGATTGCTTCTAACTATACAGATGTTTTATTTTGTTGTCTTTGTATTAATATAACTTTTGAAAATTAATGGGATGTACATAAATAGAATCTTGTACAAGAAGGCATCATTTGATACTGCCAATATGTGTTTCAACCAAGGTGGATGACTTTGGAATAGATCTCTGGTAGAAATTGGTTCAAAACGTGCTATGCACATAATTTGAATCATTATTTACATATACTACAAATAAGCATGTGGTTGTATAGATAAACCAGGATACTCTTGTGAGAATTTTCTCCTTTGATATTTACCCTTCTTCCTAACCAGTGCCTACTGTATCTGGAATACCTGGAAAATTCAGGTAATTTTATGAATAAAAACACTGAAAGTCAGATATTTTACAAAATATAATTGTTGGGAGTCATAAAAAGTTTAGATTGTTGTGAACTATACTCAAATATACCTATAACTCATCAAAAAAATTATGATTTTCATCCATTTTTTTTTATAAACAGTTATATTATTGTATTTTCCAGTAATTATTTTTTTTCTAATTATATAATTAAAAAAATTCTTAAGAAAGTGTTTTACCCACAAAGTAATGGTATTTTAAAGATTTTTATAAAAAAAAAAAAAAGATCAAAGAAGCCAGTTTTACCAGTGATGTTTCCATTGCTTGTCAAAGAAGCTGCTATGGTATTTTTCTAAAAAATATTATTAATCATAAAAATTTATAATTTCCTTATAATGCGAGGGTCTCCAAACGTTTTGGCTCGTGGATTAAGTCCATTAAGTCCCGCAGCCTGCATTGAGTCCTCCACCCATGGCTTGTGGTGAAAAAAAAAATCGTATTCTATAATTGACACTTCAGCTGTGAAATAAGCTTTCTGAGAGAAAAAAAACATGCAATAAATGTAGCAACCTCTTGTGCGAGTAATTTACTAAATTCAATATTTTTAATTAGTTTTTAAAATTTTAACATTCAATAATCAAAGAAACTTTGTGTGCCGGATCGAATGTGCTCGTGGGCCATAGTTTGGATACCCCTGCTCTAAGGCCCCCAGCATTTTAAATAATAAATATTATTTAAGATTATTATTAATAAACACCAGTTTTTAAAAATTTAGTATTTCAATACTTAAACTTTTTCCAAACATGACTTGGAAATGTCTGTGAATTCCATCATAAAAATGTTTCGTTTTGGTTTACAGCCTACTAACAAATTTTGAATTTGAGATATATTAGAGAAATTTTTTTTTTTCGTAGAACAATCTAATGTTATCAACTAACCTAACAAGCACTATCAGTGAAGCTACGTACTTTATGTCTAACTTAAAATACCAGTTTACTTAGTCGATAATTAGCTTGCCCCACTGGAAAAACCCAATTGATTTTAGTTTACCAGGGACTATACTAAACAGTGAAATTATAATTTAAAAAAACTGAACAGCGATATTTAATTAGTTTCTCATGGCACTTAGATCACTATTGCTAGAATTAGAGTGGACGTGTGCATTATTTTGAAAATGGTAAATTTTAGGATTGTACAATGTCAGGTATGTTCCATGGATCTTTATTTGCTTCAAAATCTTTACAACCCTCCTTGTCCGTCGCGATCTGCCAGCTTACTACCATTGGAGTTTTTATGCCATTTACGTCTTTCAATCTCTTTTATTAAATTTATAGTAAGAATTTAAATATTGAAAATGGGATTCGTCACTAAACTGTAATAATTAGACCTTAGAAATTTTCTTTTTGTTTTTTCTGTTGTGCCTACAGTTGACTCGACCAGCTTAACTCATGACCGACTTTTGTGGTACAATATCTGCTCTTAAAACTATTTAAAATTTTTATTATTTATGTTTTTAAGTGATTTACATACTTTATCAATACACATGTTTACAAGACAGAACTGATCAAACCGAATTAAAGTAAACCACTATGTTTAAAAACTCCTAACTACTCAATAAACAAATAAAAGTTACATAAATAGTTTTCTTATTAGTTTCTTTATCTTCTAGCGAGATCCAATGAAATATGATGCATATTGGTACAATAAATGGGATTGTCATTCAAAGAACTAATCCTTACTTCAGATACCATGATCTATCTTTTTCAATATTCAACTACCTGCTTATTTGCCATTCTTAAAAATATGTGAACATTCTTTAATTCATTTGTATACCATATTTATATAAAAAGGGATTGTGCAAAGCGGATTTGGAGTGTAATAAAAAACCCCACCAAACTTTAGGTTTATTTATTGTAGGTAAAAGAAAATACTTTTTTTTTGTTTATCCTTCTCTGGTTGACAATGTATTCTTTTCTAAGAAATCATTGAATTTCTTAAATTCCTGTAGAAATGATTTAATGAATTATTTTTAGTTCTATGTTCTTTTTTACACGTTCACTTATCAAGAAAATTATTTTACTATTAAAATATATCTTTAATATTCTTATATTGTTATTTAAATTCAGTTTTGGTATGATCTGATCTTTTAACTACATAAGTTTGATTTTTTTTTCAAATGTTTACATGTACATATCTATATTAATTTATTGTATGTTATTGTGCCACAAATTTCTTTTTCAGATCCATATTATTAACCTATTCCAACATATCTCAATGATGTGACAAATGTAGTTTTTAAGATAACATTAATTTTTAGGATACTTATATTTTTTCTTATCTTTTTTTAGCCCCAATATAATAAGCCAAAAACATATTATATTTTTAACCATGTTGAGTTGCTTATTACCTACCACAGTGGTATGGGAGAAGAATGGGGCAATACATTTGGTGCAAATGGTGGAAGAATTGTCTGTAAGTTTACTTAGTATTAATTAATTAATCATTTAAAGCTAAGTTATTTATATTTTTAATAATTAATATATGCCATCTAATGGATAAATATCAGTACAATTTTCTTATAATTAAATATTGTAGCTGTTAAGGTAACCCCTCTGAGTGTGAAGCATACAGATGACTTGGATTGCTATTCTAAAGAACCTATGGCTATTCCAGAAGAACTTCCTAAAGGAAAAACTCTAGAAATAAAATATACCTACAGTATAAAATTTGTTGTAAGTATTATAAAAGAGAATGCTGTGTGGGCTGGTTAATTATGTTGTATTAATGTTATGTTTTATTATACTTCATGTTGTTATTCTAAAAAACTTTGTTTGTTCTTGTTTTTATTTATCTTAATGTTAAAGGAAATTGAATTCATGACCTTTATTATAACAATTTCAAGTGAGTTTTTACAGGAAAGTATTAATCATTTATATCAATTATAAGAAACCCTCAAATTTAAGAACCATCAAATTTTTCATTGGTTTAGTACAGAATTTGAATAATAATGAAATATTGTAATTTGGGAACATTAGAAATAGAATTTGTTTATAGAGATCTTTATTTAATTATTTTTTATATTGATGCCATTTAAAAAATATAAATAAATAAAATCTCCTAAAATAAAAAAAATTAATACTTCATTTATGGTATCTTTAAGGAATATATAAGCTCTTATACTTTAAGATGTTTTATTCCACTTCAAACAATGTGACTCATCATATTTCTGGAGTTATTCAATAAAAACTCAAAAAAACGATATCAGGTCTGTCAAACAATAATGCTCCAAAACTTTTTTTACAAGTGATTTAGATCATAGCATATTAAAAAAATGAGATCTACACGACCCTTTTAATATTATACCTGGCATAGTTTTTCTTTTCTTTTTTCGTATTTCTCTCAAATTCTACTTTTCAATGTTTTGGTTATTTGCCATTTTAAAGAGAACCATAAAGTCTGAACTCCCTAATATCGGCTTAAATGAAAGCTTATTAAATTTAATTTAAATTTGTTCTACGTGATTGTTTGTTTTCATAGAATGAATATTTTTTATGATATTTGACGATTTCGTAAATCTATGATTTTTTTGGCAAGATAATCTATTTTGAAAGAAATTTATCTTATAAAGTAATAATACAAGGCAGGTATACATAATGATACAAGGTAGGTACCTACTATTGATTTAGTTCCTCACAATATATTAAAAGATAAGGGCTACTTGTTATTTTATATCCATAAATGTATAATTTGACTGAACTATATAGATAGATTATAAAAATCAAATTAAATACAGTTTTAAGAATTCAATTATTACAATACAAAGTGAAATTGCATTTGATGCAATACATTATTTTTCATATTTTTAATTTTTTTTTTTTTTTATGAATTGTAGCAAAATAATACTGTAAAATGGTCGTCTCGTTGGGATTACATTCTCGAATCAATGCCACATACAAACATTCACTGGTTCAGTATTCTCAATTCTCTTATGATAGTCTTATTCCTTACTGGAATGGTGGCCATGATCATTCTCAGGACCTTACATAAAGATATCGCTAGATACAATCAGGTAATACTTCCTGTTTTTCTGCCATTCAACTTATTTTTTTTAAGTAGCATCTGATATTTTAATGTTACATTAAAATTTTTGTTCCATTTATTCTTTTATTGATATTTAAAACTGTGTATTATAGTATTAAAGAAAAGAGTAATATTTACAATAATGTTACAGATTGATTCTGGCGAAGATGTACAAGAAGAATTTGGATGGAAGTTGGTTCATGGTGATGTGTTCAGACCACCTAGGAAAGGAATGCTACTATCAGTATATTTAGGTTCAGGCCTTCAAATATTTTTCATGACACTTGTAACATTAGGTATTTTTTTTTCTTCTGAATTTATTCTTTTTTTAATAATTTTTTAGTAGAAACCCAAGACTATTCACACATTAATTATCTCCACCTGTTATCTTCTTCTAATTTCTAATATGCGATTGCTAAGAATCCATAATGCTTTAGTTTATTGAAGTTGTAATTAAAGTAAAAAGTCACTACCTTAGAAAGTTAGATTTTGAATGAAACAAATTTTCTAATAAATCATTTGTTGTCGATCTTCGTTATGATTACTATTTTCACCCATGTTTATTGTCACTGAATAATAAATTTAATTTGCCATTATATTTTGTTTTACTTCAATTCATAAACTCAAAATTAAAAGACATCAAACTTAAAAATCAATGAAGAGAAGAATAGTTGGGATGATCAGTCAAAAATAAAAATGGTAAAAATAAATACAGTCTCTATACTTATTTAAATAACCCTAGAAAAGCTTTTGGGGACCTGCACCATATTCATCTTTTATTCTCTTTTTTTTCTATTTAAAACCATTGTAGATTAAAATTTTGTTTGTCCTTCGTCTCATATTTTGTTGACTTATTCAGAGAAGAGGGCTCTTTGTCCGACATCATTTTACTGAATGCTCTTTTTTGATTGTTGATCGCCGTAGCATGATTAGGATTCCCCTCTGAGGGTCCCGAATATTGTTATTTTGCATTTTTCTAGTACCGTGGAATGTTAGGCTTCAGAAATAATTGTTTTGTATTCGTTTATTTCTGAAATTTTCAGAGGCTTCTCCAATGGCCCCCAATATATATATTTTGTCTTTTATATTGAATTAAAATTATTGGGGTTCCCCTCTGAGGGTCCTGAATATTTTTATTTTGTATTTTTCTAGTACTGTGGTATGTTAGACTCCAGAAATATATGTTTAGTATTCATTTATTTCTGAAATTTTCAGAGGCTTCTCCAATGGGCCTCTAATATATATATTTTGTATTTTATATTGGATTTAAATGATCTGAGGCTCCCTCTTACGTCCTCAAATATCATTACTTTGTATTTATCTAGTACCCGTTGTATGTTTGGTCTCTAAAATAATAGTCTGAATTTCTCTAGTAGTCGAAAAATAATTGTTATGCATTAGTTTATTTCCACAGTTTTTTGTGGCTTCTTTGATAGTGCCCCAACATAAATGTTTTGTACTTTTGCCGAGGAATGATTGGGGTCCCCCTTTTGTATTTATCTAGTAAAGTTGTATGTTTTGTCACAAAACTAATTGTTTTGTATTAGTTTATTTCTGCAAATTTTGGGGCCCCTCTGATGCGGTTCCAACATAAATGTTTTGTACTTTTATATGGCTGTAGAATGATTAAGAGGGCCCTCTTCCGCCATGAATATCATTATTTTGTATTTATGTAGTACTGCTGTATGTTTGGGCCACAAACTAATTGTTTTGTATTTGTTTATTTCTGCAAATTTTGGGGCCCCAACCTAAATGTTTTGTACTTTTATATCGCTTATATGTATTTTCCTGATAAGGGGGCTCCACATCAGACTCTAGCCGAGGGTCCCATACTGAGCCAGTTCGAGTCTGATTTGAGCCATCAAACTAGAAAATCGTTCCAGCCATTCTCCTAAACAATCGTTGCAAAGCTTTTCACGAAATGATTAAACAAATTTTATTTAATCATGGGCCAGTATTTTTTGTTCACATTGTTTCAATACATACAAGGAATCTCATTGAATACTTTGAAATTCTTTATTAAATTGATTATTGGGTGTGTTAGAATTAATGAAATGATTGTTTATGGTCCAAAAAAAAAAAAAGGGAATAGTTATCGGAAAAATCTGTCTAGGTGATTGTGTAATATCTTATTACTGATACATCATTTTATTAAATGATATGCTTCCTGTTTTTGGAAAAGTAAAGAAACTCAATCTTGATTTTGTGGAGCTATTTATCTTGGTTGGGCTTCTACTAAACAATTATCTTATCTATAGTTACTTAAATATTTTTTAACCTTTAATTTGTTTTTATTTTTTTTAGCATTTGCATGTCTTGGATTTTTATCACCTGCCAATAGAGGTGCTTTGATGACCTGCGCAATGGTTGTCTTTGTTTGTTTGGGAGCAATTGCTGGCTATACATCTGCTAGGATATATAAAAGTTTTGGTGGTGAAAAATGGAAATCAAATGTCTTGCTTACATCAATGCTTTGTCCTGGGTAATTTAAAATAACTGTAAATTGCTTAATAAATTTGAAAGAACTGGTCATGATGTTAAAATCAGAAAAATAAACAACCTTTCATATTAAAACTGTGAGGTTAGATTGTTTCTAGTTATTAATTTGATTAGGTAGAATGGGCAATTCGGGTTTTGATATTGTCATTGAAGGTCATGCTGTTTATTAGAGAATTTTAATTAAGTAATTTACCATTATGTAGGTTGTTGACGTAATATATGTAAAACAATTAAAATAATTTTATGAACCTTTAGCACTTTTATATGTTTCTGTATTTTACGTATTTTTTCTTTCTCTTTCTTATTTATAACTTCTATATAATAAAGGAGTTAAAATTAGTACCGTTATACATTTATGTATTTAATTCAATAAATGGATACCGCTTGTCATTTAAAAATTGCTTTAAATGAGAACAATAATATGAAATGAAATGAATTTCATACTCATTTAACGATTAATTTTTGTTATAAAGTATTTTAATAGCAATAGGAGCAATAAACATGAATTGATATTTAGTAAAAGCTCAAGCCTAATGCCCCTATTGTATTGGTGTTTAAAATATCTTTGAGTTTTAATGAATATTGAGCAGCGTCTGTAAGTTGTAATATTAAATCTTGCGAAATATTCGCTATAAAATAAAGCTGCTTTTAACCATGACCTGTATAATACGATGGGGCACTTTTAGAAGTATTTTTTCCTGTTTATTTAATGAAATAATTTGTGTATTTTTTTTCTACACATTTAGACCATGACTGATGCAAGATACATGAATCACTTTAGGTTACAAAACTTTTAACAGAGCTGTTTTGTATGGAGCTGAATTGCTTACAAATACAAAAATTTTAATATAAAATTTTAAAACATTAACAAGCTCTCATTGATAAAGAGGGGAGGGACACATTTTCAGTATAGTTCTTTTCCAAAATTTTACAGAATAAGTATTTCTTGGTGAAAAATAGCAATTAATAAAGAATAGCTATAAGCTTTGAACATCAGTGGTTTCGCTCTCTTTAATGTAACAGTAACTATCAGATATTCTCAATTTTATTTTATCATTAGTGTTTTTTAAAAAACAAGTAGGTAATTAATTTTTCCACAAAGTACTTTTTACTTAACAATCTGGTTTATATAAATAAATCACAAAACGTTTTTTACTTTATATGTATATTTAAAACGATAAGTGAAGGTTTTTTCTCTGTAAAAAATTGGTTAAAAAAATAACTACTAGATAGAATAAAAGGCTATGTCCATCTTTGAATTTTGTTTTCCTCTTGTTCAAGTTTCTGGACAATGTCCTGGTCATAAATTATTCTTATGTATTTGTTAATTAATTTTAATTTCTGATAAACGTGATAAATGAAAAATTTATTATCGACCATTAAAATATTATTATTTTTATTATATGGACCATTAAAATTGTTATTCTAAAGGTACTTTGTCCCAAAATAAAATTATTTTCTATTTTATTCTGTTAAAATAATTTTTTTCCCCTTATTTAAAATTAATTATAAATTATATTGTATTTATATATGATATTGCATCATGTTATAAGCCACCTTTTCTTACTAACAAATTTTTTATTGTAGGGTCGTGTTTACAATCTTCTTCGTACTGAATCTTATTTTATGGGCAAAAGACAGTTCTGCAGCCATTCCCTTTTCAACTCTCGTAGCATTGCTTTCATTATGGTTCCTAGTTTCTGTGCCACTGACATTTGTTGGATCTGTTTTTGGTTTTAGAAAGAGGGTAAGTATGTTGTTCTATATTTATTAATATAACGATAATTCGTCCACCAAATATTTGTTTAACATGTAATTGTCTTGTTTTGTTAGTTACTAAGACCTTGATTTCTTTAATTAGCCCATAGAGCATCCTGTTCGAACCAATCAAATCCCGAGACAGATACCTGATCAAAGTGTTTACACGCAGCCACTTCCAGGAATAGTTATGGGGGGAGTACTTCCTTTTGGTTGTATATTCATACAACTCTTCTTTATATTGAACTCCATTTGGTAAGGAATCATAACAGTAACCTGAATTTATTTTTATGTTGATTTATATTGTTCCGTATTTATTAATAAATTTTTACATTTTTATAGGTCCAATCAGATGTATTACATGTTTGGCTTCTTGTTTCTGGTTTTTCTCATTTTGGTTATTACATGTTCTGAAACTACTATTCTTTTATGCTATTTCCATCTGTGTGCTGAGGTATGGTTATTTTCAGTTCAATATGCCTTTATGAAATACTTACGTATATTATTATAAATTTTTTTATTTTATTTTACTGTTTTACACCTTAATATAAAATTTATATTGAACACTCTCACACAGACAAACATAACAGGTCTGATAAGTTTCCGACCTAACAAAAATACAAGACATATTTTCTGAAATTCTTTTTTATTTTTCAACATAGTCTCCTTGTAACTCTACACACTTCTCCCATCTCTGTAACCTGTCCAAAAAGTACTCTGTGTTTTTCTCTTCAAAATAATTGTTCACGAAGGTAATTGCCTCTTCATTTGACGAAAAACTCTGTCCTCCGAGCGCAATTTTTAGATAGGGGAACAAAAAGAAGTCGCTTGGGGCTAGTATTATTTGGTGAGTAAGGCGGTTGTTCAAGTAGTTCATCAAACCATAATTCGTGGATTTTTGCCATGGCAATCGCTGAGGTATAAGACGGTTCGTTGTCAATTAATGATGCGTAGTATGCTCCTGTAATGGTTTTTCCTCATTGAAGATAGTCGATTAAAATAACTGACTATCCCAAAAAATAGTCGCCATCACTTTCCCAGCTGAGAAAACAGTTTTTGCTTTTTTTGGAGCTGGTTCCCCCTTTGCAGTCCACTGTTTAGAATGCATTTTTGTTTCGGGTGTATAATGATGTATCAAAGTTTCATCTATAGTAATTAATTGGCGCCAAAAATCCTATTTATTGCGCCTAAACTTCAGCAACAGAGTGTTGGAAATATTCATTCGAACACATTTTTGTTCTAATGTGATCGAACGCGCCACCTAATGTGCTGGCAGCTTTCTTATATCTAAATGTTGATTTAATGTGTAACAAACACGTTCTTTTGAAATGTTCATAACCTCAGCTATCTCTCTCATTTTAATTTGGTGGTCGTCATGTTGAATGTTGGAGATTTTTTCGTCGGTAGTTGCATTTTTTGGAGGTCCCAAACATTCATCGTCTCCCAAGCTATTACTGCCACGTTTAAATTCAGCTGCCCAAAATTTCAATGTGGTAAATGATGGTGCAGAATCCCCATACACAGAACCACCCTCTTACGTGTATATATATAAATATATATTTCACACACACACACATGTACATATTTATTGTAAATTTGAAAAACTGTGCAAGATGGCAACTGTTATGTGAAATAAAACCAAAAGTCACAATATTCTCATCAAATTCATGAAAAAGTTAGGAATTGTAAGGTAATTTTGTAAATTAAGGAATGTGAGCATGACTTACCTGTTGTGATTCAGAATCAATATTGGTCACAATAATTTTACAGAACAGCAATTTATACATGAGTATAATTATGACACATCAAAGATATAGTGTTTTCATAGATTAATCATGAAAAGCAACAATTTTATTTATTTTTTACAGTATTTACATTGTTTTTTTTTCTAACTATATTCTATGTACTAAGAAACTGTTTCTGTACCAGTAATGGAAAAGTAGTGTTCAGGCTTCATTAAATAAGTTTAGAAGTTTTTAATTATATGCTAAAGAGAGACTGTTTATTTTTTGTTGATTATCTTACAAACTTATATTTCATTAAAAAAAAAAAAAAAAAAAAAAAAATATATATATATATATATATATATATAAGGTGAAGCCTCTTATATAATTTGATTGCAGTATTTAAAAATTTGAAATATTATACCAATTATGTAAAATTATTATTAATGAAATTCATATCCTATTAAAACTACTTTGACAACCAAACTCAGAAAAGTTCATAAAAAGAGTCTAGTTTTCTCAAAGTATTACAGTTTCTTCATTGAAATTTTAGAATTACCTTGTAAATTTCTTAAAATAAAAGGAAAATTAGTTTCGATAAATACAAAAGTTGCATGGAACATGTAAAATTTAACAAATAAATGGCCCCTTGTACAGAGTCACTGTAGGTTTTTTGAGGCTAAAAAAACAAAAATATAAAATAAAAAAGTGTTTAGAAATTAGCTGGCTAATTTAAAAAAAGAAAGATTCATATTATTGATGTTTTAAAAAACGAATCATCAATATTGAAGGCTGACAAAGAGAAGGAAATTGGTGGAAGGACAAAATTTTAAAAGACCATTTTAAATAGTTCAGAGGACTTTCAAAAGTTATTGCCCTGCAGTCCGATCACTTCCTAGTAATATTTTTTATTTACAGTATACTTAGTTTTTGTATACAATTAAAACTTAATTATTAATTCATATAAGATCATTAATGTATATATCACCTTCAAAATGGTTTGAAGAAATATTAATCTGGAAAGTTCTAAAGTAAACTGTTATTTTGTAATGCCATTAGCTAAGAAAAAAGTTGTTTATTTTTAATCTTAAATATGTATTTTTATTTTAGGATTATCATTGGTGGTGGAGAAGTTTCTTAACAAGTGGATTTACAGCAGTCTATCTTTTTATCTATTGTATCCATTACTTTGTTACTAAATTAAATATTGAAGATGCAGCTTCAACATTCCTTTATTTTGGTTATACTCTAATTATGGTTTTTCTTTTCTTCCTTTTGACAGGTGAGTAATGTATATATGCCTTATAAACTTACTAGTGCATTATTGTTTGAATTTGTACTAAAACTTTTTTTTTTTTAAACGTTATTTAGTAAAGTGATGGTATGTGGTAGCGATCATAAAAAGACTAAAATAGTACAAAAAACTATTTTATTCAACTATCAAAATTCAAAATTTTACTATTTTAGTCTTTTTATGACCAACACCCTGGACCATCTCCTTACTCAATAATATACCAAGGTTAAGCATCTTGATGGCTATAATATTTGAATACTTGTATTCAACACTTTGTAAACTTTAGTTTGTCTATTTATTGTTTTATCCAAAAATATTCTTAACCATTAAAGTGTGATTTTACTTTCTGCTGTTTTGGTAAAATATAAAACAATTGAGCATTATGGTTGCATGAACCATTGCTGATTTAATTGAAAAAAAATCACTTCAACTAATATGTATAGCATAGCATAGGTTGTTTATGGTCTATGAATGGTTAATCAAAACATAATTAAAGTAAAGAAAGCATTATATAAAATATTTAAAATTTTGAAGGGCCAGTTGATTAAGGTGATAAATAAGTAAAATTTTTCAAATTCCGAGAAAATTGGATTCAAGTCAGGTAAGTACAGTCGCGGTTATAGTTTATCACCCAGTAAGAATTTTGTTTCATTTAATTTTCTTGTAACCTAAATAAGCAAATAAAAACAAAAACATTCAACGGAATCAACTTTATTAGGTTATTATTAATCATATTGAATTTATATGAATGGAAGGAAGAAATATAAAAGATATATCAGATTTTCCAGGTGGTTTTGATTAAGATCAGGAACAACTAAATTTTAACAACTATTGATAATTATTATAATGGTGTAGGGACTGTTGACCATGACTATAATATGAGGAGTTGGTCTGGGGAGTGCGGTCAAAAAAATACTATATATTAAAATATATAGTAAGGCATAATAATACTATGGTATATAATTAATAATAATATATAAAAGGCGTAAACAATAAAATACTATTTTAATATATAGTATTTATTTGACCACACCCGCCAACCAACTCCTTCTTAGGTAATTATTATAAATTATTACAATTTAAATTAATCCTTAATGCAGGCGTTATGAATACATATACTAGTATAATTGACACTTGAAAAAACAATGTAATCTTAAAATTTGACTAGGCATTTTTCACAACTAATGATCTCCAACTGACTTAAGCCTAACTAACTCATTGCTTAACTCTCAAGTATTCATATAATGTTTCGATCAGTTTGCTCAATTTTTACTAACTGGACTGCTAGTCTAGCAAGACTTATATAGCCTGTTGGACGTTCTATTGGCCGAAATCGGCTATTTTTCTCACATTTTAGTTTCATCTAGAACTTTAGCTATCAAAACTTAAATTATACGATTATTTGTAAATGTTAAAAATAATCAAATGTCAATCAACACCTGCCAAATCACTACAATATCTCTTTACATTACACCTTTTTCCATAGTACTAATTCAGTTTGTCCATAAATGTAACTTATAATCTTTATCAAATCGATATTTCGTAAAAATGAATTACTGATGAAAAATTCAATAAATTCTTTGAAAGATTTGGCTACTTTTATAATGAAAAACAATAATATTATTAACTGCAAAGAAAAAAAATAAATGTTTTAGTTATGGATAATGGGAAAACATGTCATTTAGCTGCATTTAATATACCATCCATATAAAAGCTTTTTAAGAATCTAATAAAAATACTCCTTTCTGAAAGTGAAATAACTTGTTCAATATAGACTTCTCATAAACAAATTATATGTAGCAATCAAATATTCAAGTGAATCCATTGCAAAGCAAATCTATTACAGTAGTATTTGATCTCTTGTGAAGGAAGTGTAGTTGGACCATGGTTAGTTGGCAGCCTGAGGATAAACTTATAGGGCACCACTAAATTGAAACACATTTTATATTTTCCCTGACTCTCCAATATTACTTTAAAAATCTTCAAAAATGTAAACCTAGATAAAAAGATACCATAGTGAGTTTGCTCTCAAGCAGCCAACTAATTGTGGTTGAGCCATAATTTTAGGTAATACTATTAATTATAATAGCATAGCTTATAAAGCATTGAAATTATTTTATTTTTATATTGAAATAATTTTATTATTTTCAGGCACAATTGGATTTTTTGCTTGCTTCTGGTTTGTCCGCAAAATATATAGTGTTGTGAAAGTGGACTAGTCATGTTAAGAAACCATGAACTTACTGTTTGTTGGGAGAAAAAAAAAATCGCATAAAATATGTTATAAGACACTACTCCCTATTTGGATTTATTACTGAAAGTAATTGCTTTTAGGGATCTTACTTTATTTCAATTTTAGGAGTACAATGATACTTCTATGAAAAAAGTGAATGTAATTTATAAGTAAATGTTAAAATCATATATCAGTGTGATTATACCATTTTAGCATTTCTACATTTAAAGTAGTTTAAAGATATCAGTGATACCTACTTTATGCCAATCTTATTACTTTTAAAAAGTGTTTTATTTATATGTTGTAAAGTTTCTCTTTTAAAACTAAAATTAACATATTCAATGATAGTGACAATATTTTTTTATTATAATTAAATTTATTTCTTTGGCCTTCAGTACTTCAGAAATATATTGAGGTATAAACATTTTTTTTTTTAGTCAGAATTTCTTCATATTAATGATTTCCTTAAGCTGGACTTTCTAGAAATAGTTTCTCATTTTGAGATATGAAATACGTTATGTAAATTTGTATTTTTGTGTATTAATCTTTAACTTTAAATTATGTAAATAAAATTATTTAGAAAAAAATGTATTTTTTTGGTTTCATAAATTCCATTCTTTGTTTGAGTGTATAATACTTAAATCCTTTAACAAGGAGAGGATGGGTTTTGAATGGAATACTTTTTTAACCTCTCAGCTCTCCTCCCTTTGACACACTTACTCAATCACTGATTTATAAACTCTTCAGTCTTTGCGCAAGTATAAAATACTCACAATGCAATCTGGGAAAAAAAGCTTGCCCAGTTCTTTAAGCAGCTAGCCTTGAAGTACGTAATTTTACCCAATTATATCCATTTTTTCAACTGCGTGAAATATTTTTCTTTTCACAATGTCAAAATGCTTTATAGATTTTGGAGATTCAGATTCAGCTTAACAAAAAAGTACAATTAAAACCCATTCCTTAATACATCATCAGTAACAGGTTCAAAGTTATTCACCTCTGATTTCAAATGCGTGTTTCTAAAATTAAAATTAAATTTAACAGATAAAAGTTCGGAATTTCCCAAATGCCTTGAGGGAAGGTAACTGCAGCAGTAAAATTCTGATCAATTTAAAATTGTGTGGTATGCAAAATTTTTTCACGTTTTTATTGAGTGCCAGGTGCAAGTTGAGCCGCAGCTTGGTGAGTGCATGTCACAATGGAAGCAAGATGAAATCAGGATTAAATTGACTGTGAGGAATGATCTGCAGGTGTGAGCAGAAGTTGAACCGCAGTTCTATCCTAACTGTGAACCTTTGTACAGTGATTTTTAACATTTCCAAAGAGGTAGAACTACTGATTTTTTTTATTGATTCATTACTTCATAAAAAAAAAAATCAAAGAAATAGTTACTTGAATAAACAAAAGACACATGGATAATTCGTTCTGAACAATGAATGTTCTGATGATAAATATAAAAATTATTTTAAAGTAACTAGACAATAGTTCTAAGAATTCATTAAGAAACCTATTGCTGCTGAAGGTTGTAATACATCCAGATCCATAGGAAGTAAAAAAAAGGCTGTATTTTCAAGGTGAGAAATTTAGTTATTTCCTATAAATCTTCTTTAAAATATTTAGAAAGTAATAGTGTTTTCTTGTGCAAGAATTAATGATTACAAATGAATAAGGTTGTTTGAAAGAATAAACCAAGTTTAGTTATTTTTATAAATTAATTCTATAAAAAAGTAAAGGGAAAATTATTAAATATAACAATCAAAAATTATAGGTTAAAATAATAATGAAAAAATTTAAAAAAGGAAATCAAAATTAGAGACCTTCCCTCCAAGTATACTTCACCTGTAAGCCTCAGTCCGGAGCCAACGGAGACAAACTATGGCAGAGACACTAACATCCGCAGCTTACAGAAGTTGAGCTTAATCCCGTGTGACCCAACATTTGGTGTTCCATTCTATTCTATACTTAACTAAATCTGACTGAGTGAAACCATGTCACTTTACCAAGCTGCGGCTCAACTTATGCTCAGCCTAAAAGTTACTATTCTGAATTTTGTATACTTAAAAAAATAGTATAATTATCTAATTAGTATTTTTATTGTATCTCTTACAAATCATTATACCAATTTGAATATAGATTTGGATACATTATCCTATGATTTGAAATTGTTAGATAAGTTTTAATTGATTTAAAAAAATAAAAGTAAAGTAACAAAATAGACCTGGTACAACATAAACACTAAAATTTTTATAAAATGGGAGAAAAAAATAAGTATCAGGCAGGTACATTTCTTTCAAATAAACTAATTTCGTTTTCAGACTCAACATCTTAAAAAACTTGGGTACAAATCTAATGCATATTTTTCTATATTAGGTTTATAAAGATTTAATGCTCAAGCATACTTTGAAAAATTCCAATGTTTAGTACTGTTTGTGTTCATTAATAATCTATTGTACCATTGATGGGTAAAATACCTGCTTTAGTTAATAAAAAAAAAAAAAAAATGATGTAGAAATATATTTTCTTGTCCTTTTAAATTCTTGGGTCTTGATAAAATTGATATGGCACCACCTTGCAGGTGTGTTAAAAAAAAGAATCATAGAAATCAATTCGAGAATGGTGAAGTTATGAACGAACATACAAATAAAATTAAAAACAGTAAAAAATAATTATTTAAATAATATTTTTATTTATTAAATAAAGTAACAAAATAATATTATTGCTTACTATATTGAGTTTTTGTTTTTCTATTTAAAAATTTATACAAGAAACGTATCCTTTTATGTAACTCAGACCACTTGGTAGGCCTTGCAATCGGAAAAATACCATTTGAGAGCATTTTCCTTTTACGAAGCAAAACTTGATACTCGTTACCCTTAACTCCTTTGAGCCAACTGGGCACATGATATAAAATCTTTGAAGGATGAAGTTTTTCATCGCCTAAAATATCAATATAATCATTTTGACCAAATAATGCCCTTTTTTCACTCCATGCATTTTTGGGTCTGTACACAGGCATCGGTAATTTTTTTCCATCTACATGAGGAAGGAGCCCACGTTGTAAAAGATTATCTTTATAACCATATCTTGATACTAATGGTCCATTGGCAATTTTTTCTGCATAATAACGGAAACGAACTGGCTGAACTTGAGGCAGGAACAGTTTAGAGAAATTAGAATATAGGCTGAGCAGTTTCATCATTGCTGGTATTCTTCCTGTGAATAAAAAATTCATTAATATAGCCAATTGGATCTAAAGCACATGTATTTCAATATGTAATAAATTAATAATGTATTTATTACAATTTTTTGGAAGGAATGTGAGAAAAATATAAAACTTCTTAACAATTTCCACAGTTGGAGCAAAATTACCTGGAACTTCAATTTAAAAAAGTGTTGATGCTTTTGTTAAGTAAAAGGATATTTAAATTATATCAACTCTTTTGAATATGAACTTTTCAATTTCATAAACTCATTCAGTAAAGTAAAACGCCTTTGGTTACATCTATCCACAATTTTTGCAGTTTAAAGTAGGTTCTCAAATCTTAAATTTCCCAACTATCTCGGTTTCCAAATTATTAGGAGGATGATATTTTCTCTTCCTATTAATGATGTACCTGTGATTTAAGCACTAACTAATCACACTTATCATTCTGAGAAAATGAGCAAAAATAATTAACTACAGTACAACTTAAAAAAATTGGTTTATTTATTTTATTACTCCCTTCCTTGCCTTTCGGTTACACGGGATTTTGCAGAGATGGCATATCACAACGTGTATGTCATTCCTGCTATTAAATGGTAAGTACTTAACCGATTACGTTTTGTTTTGAAGACTCTTCTTTTTCCAACATTTTCTCCTCACCATATCAGTTTGGCGGCCTTCCATTAGCAGGTTCTCTTCTTCTCAGATTAAAGTGTGAGGGCCGTTTTCCAGCTGTACACAAAATCTTTGTAATACAGGTTCATGCTCCGTCACTAACTGGGGAAATTCATCCTCAGTGAGGTCATAGACTCCAATTTTTTCCATCATTCCGGCCCGTAGTCCATCAAAGACGGTGCAGTTGACTATGACATGCTCAGCAGTCTCCGGTACTCCGCAGGTGGGGCATAGGGGATCTATGTCTTTTCCAAAACTATGCAACTTAGCGCGGAAACCCCCATGCCCTGTAAGGAATTGAGAGACCCAGTAATCTGGGAGAACCTACTTCGCATCCAAGTGATCCAAAAAAATTGGGTTATTATAAATGAAAAGAAATTCGATAACAAACATTCAGCTAAATTCAAAATGTTTTATACAACGTTCCTTAGTGACATGGTTCTTTCCACCCATCCTATCTTTTAAATCTCTGTCTTTTTCTTCACTAATCATTTCCTTCGAAGACTATATACTTTAATTATAATAAATAATAAAGTGAGATGTTTTTAGTCTGACAAGAGTGATAGTGATAAAGGAAACTGCTATGTTTATTAATGCTTCAATGTCTATTTTCATTTGTTTAAGAACTAGTGTATATAGAAATTTTAATTTTTATATTTCTTAATCTATAAAATTAAATAGTAAAACATAACAGTACTAGCATTTATAAAAACTGCACAAGTATATATATATATATATAAACACGTTAAATAGTTATTAGTGGTTATAAAATAATAATACTCAGTCATAATTCTGATAAATCAGAGTAGATGAAAGGTCTTGAAGGAAAAATAGGGAATTTCTATGGATCAGAGGTGCAACATTGTATGATATTGTAGATGGTACAATAACTTCTGAAAGTATTCGAAAAATTGGTGGACCCATGCCTACAACATTATATTAAATGTTTGAATTTTACTAATTACAATAGCCACATTGACCTACACCAATCACAGAGTTTGAAGGTTGAATGCACTATTTATCTAATGAAGCAAGACTATTTAAAAAAAATATTTCTGCTATTCCATTAGACAGACAATACTAATCATTCTGTCCATTATCAGGCAATGCCTGTCCAATGAGCATTCACTAATCACTAATCCCACACCTAAATAAAATAATGTGTCATCTAACATCTACACTAAAAACAATAGTTATCAGTTCTATAACTAATTAGAAAAATTAATATTTACTGACCAAACAAATTAGAAATAATCTAATATAAATCATGGATATAAACATAATTGACACACTGGTGTGAGTTAATGAAAATAAACTTCTAATATAACAAGACATAAAAGAGTGTGATATATTCATCAGTAATTGATATTCAACCCCCTGGTGAAAGATAATATTCAAGGAATCTTACTAAGAAAATACTTTAGTTACTAAAATTAAAGGAAAAAATACATTATGAATCAGTTTAAAAAAATTTGAACCATATAATTTAAACACTAGGACCATCTTAAATATAATATAATTAGTGACATCATTCAAATTAACTAATGTCAGTAATTGATAATTGCAATGATTAATTATTTTAATAGTACTACCTTTGAATTTATTTCCAAGAATTTCTCATTTCATTGAATTATTATTAAATTATTGATAAAACACCATCCACATATGAAGGTTACCCAGAGTTGTTATCTGTGTTACCTCTACAGTGGTTACGTTACATTTATTTGAAAATTCTACTTCAGGATTAGTTAATATCTAAAAAAAATATACAGCATAAAATAACCGGTTTTATACAAGGGTTATACTGTAAATTTTTCTGATAATTTCTTCTTTAAACCTTAAATTCAGGTAATTGAGGGCATTGGTCTCACTTGTGAGCGGGCGATGTGGTTAGGAATTACAGCTGACGTAATTTATAAATAAGGTGGTTCAAATAAGAAGTTGGATTAGAAGTTAGTAAGTAAATGTTTGTGTACAATGTTTTCTTAAGTTTTCTATAATTCCTCTTTTCTTCAGCATCCATTTTATAGTTTCGTTGACCTAACCTAAATCACTTCAAAATAAATACTTTAAAGATTTTTTTTCCTTTATTTTTTTGTTCTTTTATGTATTTTTTTACTTTTGATAGCCTAAATGATTTTTTTTTTACCATGCCAGTAAGATTTGTTATCCTTATTACAAAAAATAATGTAATCTTTAATTTATTACTTTTGCTTTTTGTCAATCATTTTATTACATTATTTTGCTTTTAGCTTGGTTACAATGAAGGTATTATCATTGCAGTAGTCATTGTCTTTTATTCAGAAGAAATTATGTTATTACTAAGCTCCTTAAATTGTTAGAATTTTTCATAAATTACTTAGCATGCTGTACTTTATCAGTAGATAAATAATGATCTGATTATTTCCTATTTATATAGTTCTTCATTGTGAGATGGAGGATGGGGGTAAAAGTAATGATAAGAAGTCTTGGACGGAATTAAAGTATACATTGTGTGAATTGCGTCGTCATTTAGCATCAATATCGACTGTAGTTCCAACATCTATTTCTTTCCGAACTTTATCAGATGGTTCTACACGAATATTTTTTTTGGGAACTCTTACAAATGGTTGGGAAACAACCCTTCATTATGCCGATATACCTGGAGAAGAAACCCGGGTAAACATTTTTTTTTTCAATTTATGTTAATATTAATATCATTAGTAATAATATATTATTTGTTTTTATATTATGTTTGTTTAAAATTGTCATCATAATTATTTTACTGTGTTAAATTTATATTTCATGTAAATTTCAATGTATTCATTAATGTTACATATTTAATAGTTTTAATTTTCACTTAATCATTACAATTCAGTCTTATTTGTTAGAAATAAGAATTTACTATTAATTAATATTTCTATAAATTTATACATTATCAGTTTATTTAAAGCATCCATAAAAATGTATTAATTTTAGTTTTATATCATTTCTATCTACTGGTTACTAACTTTAGAAGAAGCTCTTTTAGGATTCTAATATTTTAATAAATATATTTTTCTATTATGACTTAATCAATAGTGTAGTATATTACTTAGCGTTTATAAATACACTTTAACGGAAAATGACATAGGTTTGATTACAGAAACAGTTACATGTTTCATCAGAATGGTTAAGACTTTTAAAATATTTCTCTTAACCTTGTGTGGACAAATGATTACCTAGATCAAAATAAAAGTAATGCATACGTTTTGAAAACTTTTTAATATTGCTTATCACTATATACTTTGATGATTTTCTAAATTCTTCTGGTGACTGATATGTCTTTTCCATAATTTTGTTGGAAAACTTGTTTTTCTCCTTTATATAGTCATTCATGAATATTATTTCAAGTAATGTTGGAGTTGTAGGTAAAAATGACCAACTGACGTTTATGCCAGTTCTGAAGTTTCATTTTACAATCAATCAATGAATTAATGACAATACATCATGAATTGTCGTTCCTTGAATATAATGAGAATTTATTTGTAATTTAAAGTTATAATGAATAATTAGCTTTTCAAAGATAAGGTTCTTAGCTCTTATTATGTGCCTAAACCAAATCTACACTTCTTAATTTTGTTCAATCCTGAAATTTAGATTTGGTTCAGGCATAGGTGGTTGGCAAAAAATCTCATTTTTTTAAATGTCAATTGATCGCTTTTACTGCCATGTGAGGTATGTACTGTTGATTTAGTTTACCAGAAATCTTTATTCAATTATATATATTTTTCTTATTTGAGGTTTATAAATAGACTTAGTTTTCATTTACTTATTTTTTAGGTAATGGGTAAACTTCACTGGCAACAGCTCTTGGAATTCAATTTTCAAAATACACCTTCAATAAACCGCTCCACTAGAGAAGAGCAACTATTGCTGGAAAGGAAACGGTTGACCACTTGGGGTATAACATCTTATGAGTTACATCCTAGTTCTGGAAAAATTGTCTTTCCTGCAGCTGGAACACTATATCAGTGTATAGACAATCCACACAGGGTAAAACCGAGTTTATTCAACTTTGAAAATATTTTCTTTAATTATGCAATTATATTAATGAACTCTGTATTATGTCATGCCAAAGTGTGTAATATGTTGTTGATAAAAATTTTGTATTAGAAAATCATGTTCTTACTTGGAGTTTAGTTTTTATTTTTATTCTGTAATTTGTTTTAAAATTCGCTATAATAATTTTAACTCTGTCAAGTATTTATAGCAGTGTGCATTATTTTGATGGATAGTTTAACTAGTATAGCCTTAAGTAGGTCAGCTGTTGACTTCAGCTCGCTGCATTTGTTCAGGTACAGACAGCTATTGTTAACATCTCGACTCTTCATTTTCCCTTGAAGTTAGGACCGTTCCAGCGATTTTATAGTTGAGGTTGTGAATAAATTAAGTGAGAGGTTATATAAAAACTGCAAATTCTAGACATTTGTGGAGCCTTAACATACACAAAAGTTCTTTGATAAATAGCTATAAAATAAAACTATTAACCATTGGAATATAGAATATAAGATTAATTATAACTATTTATCATTTAATATTAATTAACACTTATCATGAAAATATTTTGGTTGTTACAGAACGGACCATTATTTCCTTCAGAACTTAGGACTGGAACTCTAGGTGCCAAGTTAAATCCTCTCATTTGCCCTTCAAATCCTGATCTGGTGGCATTTGTTTCAAACTGTGATATATGGGTGGCTCATGAACCCTCTGGTATGTATGAACAATATATTTTTAGGATAAAAATGTTTTTATTATTTCCATGATAAGTTACATAAAATAAATTTGACAAATATTTAATGAATGAAGGTAAAGGTTATCTGTCATTTTTGTGAAGATGGAATTTTTCTATCTATCAAGACCTGAATCATATATCGATTGTACTTAATACTGTAGCTTTATTTTACAAATGACGAATGCATGACAGTGCATCATAACTAAGTGCACTTTTAATTCTGTGAGCATTTATGTTGGCAATTTTAGCTATTTGTTCATTTGGTACTGGTAGGAAAAAAAAATATAGTTCGTTAAAATAATACAATTTATTTAACCTGAACTAGCTGCCACCTTCATCTATTTAAAAAAAAAAAAAAAAATCCTGGAATACAAGGCCCCAGGGCTCACCATACTAACCTTCGGACAACTTGCTTACCAGTTGTTTTTTTTTCATTATATTATTTTAAAAAATATTATTTTTTTGTACAATTTGAATTCAATCCCAAAGCAATTTTAAATAATGCACTATAGAAGTTTTATTTATTCTTAATTGATTTGAAGGAGGGGCTGCAGAAATGCATTAACCTTAAAAACTGGGAAATATAGTGGGGATAGGTGAAAAATTTGACACCACAAAGGGCATTTTTCGTACTCTAACTCAATTCACATAAAAAATTTCAGGTCCCTAATTCTATTCTAAGAGGCTCTAGAAATACACAAATTTTTAAAACAGGCAAAACTTCTTGGATATGTCCAGATTTGAAATTTTTTTATAGCATTGTTCTTTCTAGAAAACAACACTACACACAGTTGGACGAAACTTTTAAAAGGTGCTTAAAAATGTATTACTCAATACAATTTTTTAGCAGGAGGCTTATTATATTTATTTGTCATCCAAGGTCTTTGATTGCTGAAAGTTACTATCAGTTTAAAATAATACTTGACAAATAAGGTTGAGTACCCAGTACCATTCCAGTGAGCCGATTTTGTTGGTTTTTTTTTTAGATCGAAAAATAATTAATGTATGTGAGTCAACACTTCCCGAAAACTCCTAAAATACCATTTTATAATAAATCTTTCTGTTAAACTAATTTTATTTATTTAACAAATGCATCTGTCCTTATAGGATCATTAGCATACTACATAGCTTATGAAATTTATAATTAGGATATTTTCCAATATGAAGTATTACATTGCTAATGATATCCTTATATCGTTACATAGTTTATGAGAGGTATTACATAATTAATAATATCAACTAGTACGCCCGTGTTTTTCAATAAGCTGTATCTTTGCTAAAAATTGTCTGATTTCAATTATATTTTTTCCTTTTGTAGGGAATTTAGAATTCTTTTATATAAACCTGGACACAACCAAGGGAAAAGTGTGTAATTTTTTAGTTATTCGCAATTAAAGTTTCTTTTCTTTCATAACATATTTGCCTGAATTTTTGGGGTGATTGGACCATTTTGCCCGCTTGAAGGAGAAGGAAGCCTTAACAATTGGTGGCTCAATCTTGGGATTAGATAAAGAATTAACGATGATCTTTCTTGCTGATCAAAAACACCACCGATAAATAATATAAACTCTTCCTCTCTCGATCATAGGGGCCTCTAGTCGACGAAATGAGACATGTATTCAATGACAGTACTTCTGGTTGTGTGGATACGAACCCTATGCCTTGCTTTATCTCAAAAATAGTACATTTTTGGGCTTAAAAGCGCAGGGTCTGATAGTTCCGAAGAAATATAAATGAAAATATATATATGATGTATTTTCATGTGTTATTAGTAGTAGAAGCTTACTCAGGTTGTCAAGGTGAATATATATCTGAAACTAAATATATGGACCAACCTTGGATCTTGTTACCTGACACTGAGAAAGTGCATTAGGGGTATTAATCTGAAACCCAGGCTTTTATGTTATTTTCCTGTATTCTCATATGATTGATTGATGATAATTGATAGGCAAGCAATTTGAAGTTATGACATGTTTGGTTGGATTAATAAGCAGTTTTTTAAAATATCTTTATTGTCAATAGTTAAGGATTTAGATTATATGGAAAAGGTCTACTACTAGATCTTCTACTTCTTTATTGCTGAAATGAATACAGTATCAGAAGTTACAAATTCTTGATTTTTAGGAGACAGATAAAGAGTAAGTATATATTATTTCTGTTTGATACCAGGGTAGGTATGTAAGATGATAACATTTTCTTGTTTTGAAAAATTTATAGCGGTGCCTTTGGCATAGATGGTTGTTGCTTCTGTCTGGTTGATGTTAGATGAGACTTTTGGATTGCTATTTTTTAATATATTTTCCATCTCTTTGTGCTTGTTGGTCTCATCGTATCATTGAGGCCAAATTTGATGCCTGTCTACAGAGCCAAGATCTCTGGGACACTATAAAAGGATTTTTGTCGCCCAATCTTTTTTTAAATATATCAATTGTCTATTAATTTATATAATCACGCCTATAAATAGTCCAAATGTCACAAACTAAGTCAATTTTCACATAATTAACACATCAAAATAAATAAAACTTTGAGACTGACCTGAAGTTTGTCGTCTTCTTGAAAGTCTCAAACACGTGTCTTAATGAACCATTTGTATGTTTTTTAAATTTTATTTATATCTTATTTTTATTTTTAGCTGTGTGAACTCAGATCCTGTTTATTCAGTTCTCATTTATTTTATTCTAATAAATCTTGTCTTTTTCACTTTTAAATGAATATGTTGTTAACTTGTTGATAACATGTTCTTTACTTTCCTAATACAGTCCAATCAGCAATAAAACTGTTTTACTTTTATTAATAATAGTTATTCTAGGTTTCTAAAAAACTTCTTCACTTTTATTTTAATTTTTCTTGTATGCTTTTGCTAAAAATGTTTACAAATTATTTATATGCTGAATCTAATGTTTTCTTCTTGTTTAAGGAATATCAGAGCGTTTGACGTTTTCTCACAGAGGAGGTAGAAACATCGCTGATGATCCATTATCATCTGGAAATCCCTCATACGTAATCCAGGAAGAGTTCAATCGTTATCAGGGTCTTTGGTGGCAGCCAGATTCCAAAGGTATTAATACATTATTTGTAGTATTGAATTATTGCATTGGATTGCAGTTATTTATAGTAACATTTAAATAAAATTATAATATGTTTTATTTGTATGTAATATCTTGTATTTAATAACTTGTATCTGACTATATATTTCAAAGTTATAGTGCTGTAATGTTGCCTAAATAATTTGTTAAAAAATTAATAAGAGATGTGTTCCAAAGTTTTCTTTCAATACTTTTTTTTATTAATTTTATTTGCTAAAATTAAATAATGGGCTTTAAGAACTATTTTTATTTACTCTCTCCGGGCACTATGAATCATTCCATTTTCAAACTTCCTTCTTTCCTTCAAGTATGTAGTATTTATAGTTTCAGATTAAGCTTTCCCTTGTATCCATAAAGATCATGACTGTTTTAATTACATTGAAAATTACATCTATCAGATGTTGCTCATTATCTATTGAAGAAAAAGAGAAAATTATAAATGGAATTGATTTAGGAGAAACAGTAAAAAACATGAAAGAAGTCAACATCAAGTATCTAGAAGACTCACTTCTTAAATGGTTTAAAGTTCAAAGAAAGTGAAATACCCCAGTCAACAGACTGATTCTACAGGAAAAAACCTATTTGATTGGCTCTTTTTCTGGGAAAAAAAGAATGGAGTTTTCAATTTCTTGGATCACTAGGTCTCAAGAGAGAGATAACATTGTGTTCAGAATGATAAATGGAGAATCATGAAGCTCTCCAGCCGCAGTATCAGATTACTGGCTTCAAAACATATAGTCAACTGTTGAGACCAAATTATTTTATCGATAACATCAGAGGAAACATTTAAATTTATAGGTGAAATTTATTGGAGATTAAAAATTCCAAAGAATGCATTACAGTTTTAATTACCAGTGACTTGACCATAAATTGCAAAAACTATTCATTATCGGAAAATCAAAATCTACACTTAACTTAAAAAGTTTTCAAAAGCTACTTGTGGATTATACCAACAATAAAAAAGTGAGGATGAGAAGCAGAAGTTTTTTTTTTACTCCCTCAGGCAATTTGACAAAGAGCTTGAAAGGAAGAAAAAGAAAAATTTTGTTTCTGTGGTTAACTTTAGTTCACATCCATCAGTTTTGAAAAAAATAAATATAACAAAATTTCTAGCTATAACATTTGTCTATGGAATAATCAAATTTCTCAATGTGAAATTTTATAAATGTTACATCATAAATACGGTTGACCAGTCAGAAAATGATGCTTATATTACTTTAGGTATCACTACTAGATGCTATATATATGGTTTCCTATTCCTGGGATAATATCATTTATAAAAATATCCACTACTGGTTCAGACACGGTTTTAGAAACTTAGATCAAGAAGATGACGCCTCAAACGTTAATGAATGGGTGCAAAAGTTACATTTAATTGTTACGTCCCCTTTGGGGTTTTGGATTTTATCGGGATGCCACTAGATAATTATTGAGGATAATTATCCAGAATTATTTAATATGAATTAATTAATAAAATATTGGTTAAACAAATTATGTTGTTTAACATATTGGTCCATGGTTAATTAATTGGACTTCTTTTCACAAAGGCCTGTTGTGTGTTTATCGTGCTCTCTAATTACCAAACATTACCTGTGATTATAATGATATAAATAGGTGTCATGATTAAAACAACTGTTATTTACAAATTATGTTTATTTACAAATTATTTAATAAAGAATGTATATATACATTATATTAAAAGAATTAATGATTAATGATCTATGATTAATAATTGGTCGTGAAGGCCTGATTCAGATGGACAAAATTGAAAATTTATATTGCCATGAAATATTTTAGCATCTTTAAAATGAATTGGTGGGAATCAAACTTATCTATTATGGTATGAAGTGGTGTATTTGGTAGATGTCATCGCTGCATCTGCAAAGTCGAGATCATCTGGTCATGGTAAATGTTTCAGTCTCCTAGCCGGAAGAAAACATCAAGGACCTCCTCAAGGCCGGGCAGTGACATCAGACCAATCCTCCAAGCCTGGCAGCTACATCAGACCTCTCTTCTATGCCGGGCAGTGGCATAAGACATAAGCCCTCTCTTCCATCCATCTCAGTGGATTTTATTCCAATATCTAGGGTGGAGCAAGAATGGTTCCCATTGGTTGAATTTTTGTAGCAGAAGGGATGACCACACCCCCAGTGTTATGTTGAACACACCCCTTTTAGCAGGTACACAACCGTTTCCTTTGCTTATACTTAGAAGCTTCGCATCCTTTTTACACATTTCCTCGTAAGACTGGTATCTTTCCTTAAGTGTTTCATTGCCCCTGCTAAAAGGTTGCTAGGGGGTCTCAGGTATCCCGACCACTCTCTAAGTAACCACTTTCCAACGTAATTATGTTGACGGTCTTTTGGTGTTCTTGCCTCTGTAAGAATGGTGTTGGTCCTTTGGGGTTCTTAAGTGTTTTCTTGCCATTTACAAAAGGTTGCTATGGGGTCTCAGGTACCGCCCAGGTGTTAGCAATTATCTTTAGAATATATTTATAGGACCACATGTGGTCCTTACAATACATAGCATAATTATTTCAGCAATGCACAGTCATACACAGGAATTGATACAACAGAGGAACAGATTAAAGAATGTAAGTTACAAAAATTTATGTAAGTAAGCTTGATTCCGTTTATAGTGATTTCTGGATATAGCGATGTATTTTCCTTGGTCCCTTGAATATTTTTATAACTGTATTCCACTTTTTATGTGACACTTGTCAAAATTCACATATTGAACACACATATAAAAAACACAAATATAAAAAACACATATAACATAAGTTGACAGCTGAGAGATAGAATGGTGGTAGGTGGAAGAGAAAGCTGCCAACAGAATTTTATGGAATGATAGACAGTAGTCCAGGAACAGAGTATCAAGATTTTTTTGTGGGTATGGGTCCAGGTTGAGACAAGAACTACTTGAATGAATATTTTTAATTTATTGCAATTTTATGTAACTTTATTTATGTACAATTTTGGCATTTTTAGATGGACTTTACAGGATCCTGTATGAGGAAGTTGATGACAGCGAAGTTAATATTTATACTTTCCCTTCTTCTACCTACCTGCCGAATGGTGAAGTTGAACAATATAGGTAAAGTTGATGTATTGACTTTTTATAATCGATTGATTGTTATTCTTTCAAATTAAAATTTCTTCATTTCATTATCTACCCAACCAGGGAATCTAGTCTAATTTCGAAGAGATATTCTTGAGAAATTACAAATCTCAATTACACCTATATAAGTACCTGCATAGAGTACTATAAGTACCTATATAAGAAAGATAATATCATTAATAAAAGCTCATCAAGACTTATTTACTTCACATAACTATGTAAAATAAAAATATCACTGTCAAACATAACAAAAATGATTCCAGAGTAGGTGATTGCTGTGTTAAAATATAGAACTGTGAATAAAGGTATAAACTTTTCCACTAAACTTAATAATAAAAAATGCTAATTGGAGCTAGTCATTCTGTTAACTGAAAGACTCATATTACAAATTGATGATAATTAAGTACCAAATGCTGGTGAATTATATTAATAAACTTTGGTGGTAAATTTTATAAATAGAATTCTCAATAATGCAGTTATTATTCAAGCTTCTTGTGTTCAATTATTATATTTTTGTTAATAATGTTTATTTATTATGAAACCATGTTTTTTTATTTGATTTAGTATTTTATAATTTTAATTTATAATACATGATTGCATCATAGCTTGGGTTAATTTCAATTTTAGGTTCCCACGAGCTGGATCTCCAAATTCCAAATCAAACTTTAAATTGATTGAATTGACTGTTAGTGAAAACGAAATATTGAGGTCACGAATTTTGGAATTAGGGCAGCCTATATCCCAGATGTTTCCTTGGGTTGAGTACATTGTTAGAGCTGGATGGACGCCTGATTCAAACTAGTAAGTACTAAAATATTGTATGCAATTGTATTTTTATTTTATTAAAAAGCCAATATCAATTTGAAGTTGTGTCTAAAATGTGGGCGGGATGGCCGAAAGGGCTAACTTGTGTGCACAGTACCGCCGTTGCCCGGCAACCTGATCTATGAGAATGGATTTAAAATAGTCATGAGTTCGCGTCCCAGTTCCGGAGAGGGGAGTTTTTAAATCTCCACCCACACCTCCTGTCCCGGGAAACCCTGTACTCCGTGTTCCGCGAGGAAGGAGAGGACAAAAAATAAAATAAATAAAAAAAAATAATAAAAAAAATGAAAGGTTGTTTTTTTAGGATGTTGCAACTTGGTGTAATTGTTCAGTTTCTTGAATTTGGTTCGTTTAATATTTTTTTCATATTAACATTATTATTTTATATTGATAAAACCAACACTTGTGATTTTTTTTTTCATTATTTCTTCACTAGATTATCCGATAATTTACAACACAAAGAGAATAACTCTGTCACACAGCAGCATGTGATAAATAAGTACCACCTTGTGTTGTCTACTAGCATACATTTTTTGAAAGAAAATGATAAAACTTTTTATACTCGATAAAAGTCCATGACACTGTTCCATTTACCTTTTTTCTTTTTTTTTCAATTTTGAGCTAAAGTAGTCATGTCCTGTATAAGGCTAAGCAATTATTTTATTTATTAACAATGAGCATTTGTTTTATTTTTTATTGATTATTCATCATTCCATTTGAAATTGCCTAAGGCAGATATCTGACTAGTATAATTCTGAGTTAGATTCTTGCCATAGCTTTCATTTTTTAAACCACAATATGAGAGAATTTGAGCTTCCAGTTTATTAAAGTTGTTTGCTTAGCAGTTTTTGATGTATATTTTTTTCACCATCTTTTTTTTGTTATTCATATATTATAATTAAGTATTTGAGTGAGAACAGTTCATTAAATGACCGATTGATTGAGTTATTTTTATTCATTTTAGTAATGTATCACTGAATTGTTTTGTTTTATTTTTCAGTATATGGTTAGAGCTGCTGGATAGAAGACAGAAAAGATTAGAACTTGTTGTGATACCTTTAGAGTGTTTTGTTGAACCTCCTCCAAATGTTTACTCTCGTTTAGACGGAAGACTTGACGATCCAGGGTCACCTCTTGTCCATGTTGTTGCAAGACAGACATCAGATATATGGATAAACGTATGCTGTATTAAATAAATAATTTATGTTATTTGATTGTATTTAATATATATTTATTGAAGAGAAGGATGGTTGGGGTAATCAGTCAAAATAAAAATAGTAAAAATAAATAATTATATTTATTTTCACATTTGCCGACATTTCGGCCCGAAGTTCAGGACTTCATCAGGGCTGTTCAATCCGACATGTGTGGTCTGTCAACACTTGTCGGATTTAACAGCCGACCGAAATTTCGGCGAATGTGGAAATAAATATGATTATTTATTTTTACTATTTTTATTTTGACTGATCACTCAACCATCCTTCTCTTCAATTATTCCCTACAGTTAATATATATTTAACTTTTATTTAAGTCTTAAATCTTCATATAATTTATTATTATTATTTAGGTTAAATCATTGTAACAGTTGTTTAGTATAAATTTATAAATGATTTTTAGCCTGTTGACAATTTATTTTTATAAATAGTAATAGTCCGTGGTACAGACCGCTTTTTGTCAAATTATTAACATCTGCCTGAAACTTCGTAAATAAGTTCATCTCATCGTAACCTACAAATATTTTATTTATGAAAATTCTTGATATTGGGGCGTTTTCAATCTGGAGGTCGGCAAACTTTGTCTATTTAATTAGGTACTAAAAACTTAAATACCGTGATTTTATAAAAATGTAAATTTATGCTAATGTAAATACCCATTTGCTTTCCATTTGGATCGGAAGATAATTTGATCATGAAATCGATAAAAAAATGTGGCCTACGAAAATGTTGGGCCATTTGACTGATATAAGACTGTTATTTTGACAATTTGGGGGTATAAGTCAAGCAAAACGGCTCAATATTTTTGTAAATGAAATACTTGGTTACGATTAGATGAAGCTATTTACGAAGTTTCAGGCAGATGTTAATAATTTGATATAAAGGGGCATGTACCATGGGCTATAATATTTATTTGTCAAGTGCTGACTTTAATATTAACTTTTTTATAATAACAATTTTATAAATTAGGTGAGTGATTTATTATATATAATGCCAACCATGGAGGGTGGAAAAATGACATTTATTTGGGCAAGTGAGGAAACAGGTTTTCGGCATCTTTATCTGGTAACCGCTCATCTTTCATCAATCAGCAATGGAATCGATGCTACATTCGATGACAGTGAAAGTAAGAATCCATTTTCATTAAAACTTTATTTATTCTGTTACGTTTAAATGTTTTATGTTTTAACTTTTTGAATAAAATTTGATTTGGGTACAATCTTTACAAAGCTTTACAACTTGACATAAAAAGCCGTTGTGCCCTTTGACGAATTGAAAGATCCAATAGTTAGGTTGAACCCATCTGGCTATTTTCAGATTTGAATTAGGTTTGTTCGTTGATTTTAGTTAAAATTGGAAGGGAGGTTGATAAAAGCTTTTTCACTATGTTATTTTTGAAAATAATTTATATAAATTTAGTTTCGTTAACTTACTATATAAATTTAGTTATGTTAAAAATATTAATAGCACTTTATTTATTTTGTTTTAGTGAAGTGTCGAAGTACGTCAGTTGTTGCTTTAACTTCTGGAGACTGGGCAGTTTTAGATGAAGGTCTTTGGGTTGATTCTGAAAGGGGGCTTGTTTATTTTACTGGACTTAAGGAGACACCACTTGAAAAACACCTCTACGTTGTTTCTATTTATTATCCTGGACAAGTGAGGCTATTGACTCATACTGGATTTTCATATAAAGTGGAAATTAATGCAGTAAGTTTAAGGAATCATTTTAAAAATAACATAATTACATTTAAAATTAATTAAACTTTTTAAATTATCGAAAGAAAATGGGCTCAAGACTTGCTACATTCCATAACTTGAACTCACTCATTAATGCAGATACTGGATTTCTATTAAAATTTGTTGACATGTTCTTGATAAAATCTGACCCATTTTCATCTATTGTATAGCCATATCTGAAACCCACCTTCATTCCTCTATTCCATCATTTCCATTGAATTTCGTTCTCACCTTCCTCTCTCCCCACTCCATATGTATCGGAAAAAGTGCTACTATGATCTATCATGCCTATCATAGTACAGACCCGTTTTGATCATATTATTAACATCCGCCCAAAACTTCGTAAATAGTTTCATCTCATTGTAACCTACAAATGTTTTATTTACAAAAATTGTCAGAATTCGGGCGTATTCAATCTGAAGATTGGCAAACATTGTCTATTTAATTAGTTACTAAAAACTCATGAATACACATTTTCTTTTCACTCGAATTGTAAGATAATATGATTAAAAAGTGGAATATAATATGATATAATATAATATGACCAAAAATATTGGTCTGTTTGTCATGATCTCTACCTTTAAAATATCAAAATAACAAGGTTATATAGGCCAAATGGCCCAATATTTTTGAAGGCCACTTTTTTTTTTTTTAGATTTTGTGATCATATCTTACGATTCAAGTGGAAAGAAAATGAGTATTCATGGTTTTTTGGTACCTAATTAAATAGACAAAGTTTGCCGATCTCCAGATTGAAAATACCCCAATTCTTAGAATTTTTGTAAATCAAATATTTGTAGATTACAATGAGGTGCTATTCACAAAGTTTCAGGCGGATGTTTATTAGATAAAATTTTATAAAAAGGAATCAGTATCACAGACTATATAAATTTGGTATTTCCAAAAACTATTTGAACTTAATGTAAATCACAGTTCTGTTTCATTTGAATCAGTTTTTTATTTTTTCTCATGATTACAAATTTCATATATTTTCTCCAGACAGTCTATCGGAGCCAGGCAACATGCGTATGTGTGTGTTGTAGTTCAGCCCATATTGGTTAATATTATGAGATGGAATTATTAATGTTCCTGTCAATAATCATCAAATAATTTAATGGATTTTACATTGGTCTATTATTTAATTTCAGGACTGTTCTATATGTGTGGCTACGTATTCAAATATTAAAAAATTACCGGCTTGTTTAGTATTCAGGATTACTCATACTGATGCAACTGTTGATGGCATTACTCTAACTCCTATTGGGCATCTAGTTGAACCTCAAGGTAACGTATAACATGTATTTTTTTTAAATTAAATAATTGAAACGGTTATTTCAGAAATGACACAAGTGGCATTACTATGTAATCTTGAAAACATATCGAAGAAAGCATGTTATACTTAAATTTTAAAAGATAAAAATATTGGGTTAGCAAATAAGTTCTTTCGGTTTTTCAGGATGAAATAAAACTCAGTACACTATAGACATAAAATTTATTTTAATCTACAATATATTGGCCATTATTTAATATGACTTTTTTCTACCAACTGCATTATGCAATGTTCATAGAATGTCTGGAGTTTATTGTTAAAAAATTGATCTAAGTGGTTTTTTATGTCCTCTTCCTTTTGGAATTTCTTGGAGTTCTGCGGAGACTGGAATAAGTGGTAATCACTTCGAGCCAGAGATGGGCATATTTATATTCAAAATTATAAACACGAATACCATTTATATTTATGATACTTATGAATATATTTATATTTATAAGAAGAAATATGAATACAGAAGATACTTATTCACAGCTGTAAATATAAATACGGCCGAATTCACGATTGTAAAAATGTATACGGCTGTATTTACACCAGTGATAGTGAATATGGTAATATTCACATTTATTAAAATGAATATGCTTCAATTTACAGAAGTAGATAGAAATTTCTTAAAGAGCCGGTACTGTTTTGAAAAACCTTGAAAATCAAAATCATTCGCTATCAATTTCATACATTGTCCTATATGCAAAACTTAACACATATTCACATATATTATATAACACTCACTGAACGGCAGGTCCGGAAATGTCACCATCCTAATTTGACTGCCCTTGCCTCTTTGCTTCAACCTAAGGCTGTCGTGTACACGTATTCCCCCTAGGAATTTCCAGGGTATCTTTCTGACTGTTGTATCTACCCTGAGCATCCATTAAACTTATCTTTATTGCCATTAGCAACCCATAAGTAAACAGTGCACCGAAAAGTTTGTACGTTTGGGATCATAGACACAGACTTTCCATTCTGGTACGGGATGGGGATGGATCCAACAAAAAAAAGAGTTGGGAATTTATATTATGTACAAAAATTACGAGTGATTAATTACATAACATATTGTAAAACAAATAATATAATATTATATATAAAAATACAATGGTATATCGAGTAAATATATATTTTTTAATAAATTTATATTTTTTTAATAAATAAGAGTATTGTGATATAACATATTGTAAAACGAAGAATATAATATCACTTATAAAAATAAAATTATATTTATAGTAAATATATATATTTTTTAATCATTTTTTTCTCTAATAAATTAGAGTATTCATTAAGAAGGTTGTGTGGAAATATTTCCATCTACTTCTGTAAATTTAAGCATATTCATTTTAATAAACGTGAATATTGCCGTATTCACTTTCACGGGTGTAATTTACAGCAGTGAAGACGTATCATCTGTATTCATATTTCTTTTTATATATGATTAAATATATTCATGAGTACCATAAATATAAATGGTATTCGTATTTATATTTTTGAATATAAATATGCCCACATCTGCTTGGAGCTATGTCTGGTGAATTTGGAGGATATGGCAAAAGGTCCCATCCAAGGCTCAATAATTTATTGCGAGTGACCAATGAGGTGTGGGACCTAGTGTTGTCTTGGTGGAACACTACACACTTCCGATTTGCCAGTTCTGGGCGTTTATTTTTAATTGATTGATCCAATTTTGTTAATTGTAAAGAGTTGAATCTATTGTTTGTACTGATGGCAATAGCTCATAGGAAATAATACACTTGAAATCCTACCATATGGAAAGCATTGTCTTCTTTGGATTCAAATCAGGTTTTGACATTCTTCTAGGACCCCCACTTCTAGGTCCCCAAGATTTTCTATGGACTACATTATCGTATAATATCCATTTTTCATCTCCTCTTACCAACATTTTCAAAAATGGCTTGTTTTGTTGCTGTTTCTGTAGTGAATCACAAACAGAAATGCGTGTTGCCAAGTTGACATTGGTTAGAGAGTGAGAGACCCAAAAATTAAGCCAGGAAACATAGCCGAGCTTGTGCAAATGATTTTCTACGCTTGTGTGCGACACATTTAGGGCCATAGCAGTCTCTCGCACTGATTGGGTGGGATTTTGATCAACGATGGCCTTAACATTGCTCGTTTCAATTTCATTTGAGCAACCAGACCGTTAAGCATCAACGATGTCAAAATTTCCTGAATGAAATTTGGCAAACTAATTTTGATGTGTGTGTTTGGTTGAGGGATCATCCTTACCTTTTTTAAAATAGTACAACAAAATATGCCGATAATGAATGATATTTTCTTTCATATTCACAGTGCAATAGCAAACACAAGCTAGTTTCAACAAGAGTTAAAAGATATAGTTGTTGACATCTCAAAAAGGATAAAAAAACCACCTTAGGGATTAATTCATCAGATAAGAAGTGTATCATAGTGAAACTGAAAGGATTTATTTGCCAATTCAATGTATGTAGTATAAACAATCAGTTTGTATTATATATTTAATGTAATGTCTTAAATGCATTAAAAGATACTTCTGTTTCACTTGTCGTTTCTGAAATAACTGATTTAAATATATAATATGATTTATTTAAATAATTACTGTTTATTATAATAATATTAGTTAATATTTCCGGTTATCTAGAATATTGTTACAACAATTTGAATTAAAGGTTTAGGTGGGCTACACAAAATAATTTAATTCCACAAGTATGACTTTGAATGTAAGATTAGGCATATGGGGGAGAAAATTGCTGGTTTTGGAACAGTACAAAAAATGCATATTGAACTGTAGGATTGTTAGGAGAGACTAACTAGGCACTTCTTATCATTTCTGGTTTAGTTTTTGTTGTCCTTCAAAATTATAGCAATCATGAGTGATATTAAAAGTAATGCATGCATGTGTTGCCTGACTTTATTATACTGTCTAAAAGATATCCCTGCGTATAAATGTAGCGATTAAAGAAAAATTAACCATGCTTAAAGTTCACTTGTGCTAATCATTAAAAAAATTGAACTTTCAGCAACTTGAAATTTAGTACTAAAAAATAAAAGAGGGCTATGGTAAGAAGAATTGAAACATGTAGTCTAAAAATAACCTTTCCTCATATTTTCTGCCTGCAGCCAGAATATCTTAATGTTGCAGAGAAGAGGTATTGTTTTGGGTCTATTTTCTGATAATTAGATTATGTTTTCTTTTATCTGTCACTTTTATATAATTTAGATAGTTTCCAGTTTGTGAATTTGGGATCTCATTATTAATGGAAATAAAGCTAGTTATTATAAATGTGAATGATTGCATATGCAATTAGGAAACAATTGCAATTATTACTAATTTGCTATTAGATTGCGAGGGTATGTTAAGAAAGAGTTTTTTGGAACTATGTATGTGAATTATCATAATTGATCTTATTGTTTCATTATTTGCTTGTAATTTAATAAGATAATGTTATGTACTGAATGTTACAGTTCCTGAAAATCCAGTTCCTTCACCTGATTTGTATAGTCATGAAATCTCATCGGGTGATGTTCTTTATGCAATGGTCTTACGTCCATATAATGCAGTTCCTGGACAGAAATACCCAACTGTTTTGAATGTCTATGGAGGACCAGAAGTTCAAGTTGTCACCAATACTTTCAAGGTATTATGGTCTATCAATAATTGTGCATTTTAAACTTAAGAGATCTGGTATATTAAAAATAAACAAAAATTTTCAAAAGATATACTCATGAAAATAAAATTAAGAAACAGAAGAACTTGCCATAATTCATTGTTGAATGTTTTCAATCAATCTTGTTCAGATTCCAAATTATTGTAATGAAATTTTATCATGGAAGAAAATTATTACTTTTCAATATATAGAAGAGGACAATGCTGCCATGGGGAGCCGGTATAGCAGAGTGGTTAGCACTCTATACTAGTAAAGTAAAGATTATAGGATCGAATCCTGGCCTCCTACTTCCCACAACCTCTGGTCTCCACAGGAAGTTAGACCATACCCTCTTAATTAGAGAAGGCCTACAAGTTGTCAAATACTTGTAAAAACAGGCTAGGGCAAAAAAAAAAAAAAAAAAAGAATGCAGCCATAACCGCTTATCAGCCATCTTTAGTCTTACTGACTATAAATATTCAAACTATAACATTCTTTTGTATTTTAGGACTTGAGGTATCTCAGACTTCATATGCTGGCATCTCAAGGGTATTGTGTCATCGCTATTGATTCTCGAGGTTCATATCACAGAGGTTTAGCCTTTGAATCACACATCAAGCACAGAATGGTAAATAAATTCCATGTTGAATTTTTAGTTAAAAATTTATTGAATTTTCTGTTTCAATTGTAAAACTTGATTATTAATAGAAATTATCTTTAAGTTTTATTAATTATTCTGTATGAAATTTGATTTATTTTCATTTATAGACTTACGAGACTTACTCTATCATAACTTATTTTCCTGCGAGGAACATTTGTGGGGGAAAAATAAAAATGAAAAACTTTTTCAGTTTACATTTCATGAATATAAATCAGGTTTAGATTTAGTCTTTATGTAAGTAATATGGGAAGTGTCTAGAAAAAAAATATACTTGGGATCAGTTATGCACAAATAAAAATGGTTATTGTTAAGAGGAAGAAGAGGTATTATTGAGAGAAGAGGCAGAATTGAGGGCATTAGAAAGAATTTGAGAATATATTCCCTGAAAGACATAGTACAAAAATAAGCAGCAGCTACAAAGTAAAGAAGCAGTCATAAAATTAGGAACTTGAGAACTGGATTAGTAGGACTTTGTTATCACATAAGGCAGCTTTAGCAGTTCCATGTTCTTAAAGTGTGCTTACACCAAGTGTAAGTGTAACATAACATGTTAAACCATTTGATTTGTGAGAATGTCAATGTTTATTTATTAAACAAAAAAAATATATCTTCCTTTTAAATTCTTAAAACTGGTTGATTAAATCTGAATATAAAAACAATTAAGTGATTTCTTATTCCTTTCTTTTAAGTAAGAGAGATCAATTTCTATTTACCTCAATTGGTAAAAAATAAAAATTAGACATCAAATTGTAACTATAATAATTACGGATTATTTATTGAAGGAAAATTTTTTTTATTTGAATGAATTATCAGTATCATTTCATGTTTTCGTACAATCAATGATTAGCTTCTAATATTTTGGGTTTCATATACGTTGGTACAGGACTTTGAAATAATTATTTCTATTCACTTAGCGAATATATACGATATGTCCACAAAGTCCTGTGTCTTATGTGTCTCTCGAGTTTCTTATTTTGTGACTCCTAGTTCGAAGCTGTTCGCAATAAAGATAACTTGCAGTAGAATATTAATATATCTCTATGCAGATAGGCTGGATTCTGGTTCAGTGGAACAGAAAAAAAGAAGTAAAATAAATGGTAGGATGATTATTTTTTTGTGTGTGACTTTTCAATATTTGATACGAAAGTTGGCATTTTTTGTTTTTAGAATCAAGATATTAATGAATTGTGTTGGTTCATTTTTAGGGAACAGTTGAATTAGAAGACCAAATTGAAATGTTGATGTGGCTCTCCAAAGAAGTGTGTCTTATTGATATCTCTCGAGTAGCCATATTTGGATGGTCATATGGTGGATATTTGAGCCTCATGGGTCTTGCTCAGCATCCTGATGTTTTCAAAGTAAATATTTATTTTACTATTAGTATATTATCTATTTCTTTATTTTTGTCGAAGAATTAGAAATCATGTTTAATCAGTAGTTCCAATGAAAACCCTGCATCTTCTTTCTGTTTTAAATAATAAATAAAATCTCAATGAAGAAGTATAGTGTCAATCTCTATGCAAACTGTGTTACTGACAAATCTCAACTTTTTAACGAAAAAATAAAAATGATTCAGTTTTTATTTTCATCATGCTGAGATGAATATCTATTGGGTAGAAAAAATTAACAATGAGTGGTTGTGCATACAATCTAGGCAAAAATCAAAGAGTCTAAAATATAAACATGTTGTATATAGAAAAGGAGCTCACAGTCAGTATGTCATCAATTTCAACCAAATTTTTGTTAATGATTTTAAATCGAAAAATATTGGACACACATTCTGGCATTCGTTGTTCCAATGGGCCTTAGAAGCTGAGAAAAAAATTATATATAATTTTTAAAAAACAATTATGTTATTATTTGTAGCATAATTGGTAATTGGTTGACTGTCGTGGATAATGAAGAGAAGAATAGTTGGGGTGTTCAGTCAAAAAGCAAGGCAAAAATAAATGATAATATTTATTTTTTTACATATGCCGACGTTTCGACCTGAAGTTCAGGCCTTCATCAGGGCTAAGAAAATAACCGGTTATTATTATTTATCTCTTAGTTCTTAGTCATTATTCATTTAGTTATTAGTCTAACAATTTCATTTTACTTTATATTTATTTATTTTATTTTTCTAATTTTTTTTTTATTTTTTATTATTTTTTTTTTTACCATCACTACTTATGTTTCTCATACCTTGTTATCTGGTTATTTTCTTAGCCCTGATGAAGGCCCGAACTTCAGGTCGAAATGTCGGCATATTTAAAAAATAAATATTATCATTTATTTTTGCCTTCCTTTTTGACTGACCACCCCAACTATTCTTCTCTTTATTATTTGTTGCCTTTGTTTTGCCCAGATTTATAGATGCTGAAAGCTATATAACTGCTAAATGCTTCAATTAACTGCTGGAAAAAAATTCGCTCTGGAAAAGAAGTACTCAAATTTGTATTTTAGATTTTTATGAAAATTTGTATGGAAGAGCTTAAGGGCACTAAAACAAATCTAATTTGATTTTTACAACAAAAATTTACTTGGTCTTCTTTACTAGAAGTGTCTTTGGTTTTGTAATTTATAATCAATTATAACTCCTGTAATACCATCGTCAATATTTTTTTCTTATTTTGCATAGAAAAAAAATCGATTGGTATACGAGGGTGAAAAGTTTCCGACTGCACTATGAAGATGGCAGCACTTGTAAATAAAAGACAGTGAATTTTGTTGTTCATCTGTTGACAGTTACTCCCAGTTTCAGCCATTTTGGACGCATAATTTTTATGTAACAGTCGTTTGAGTGAGTGTTTTTGTGAAAATGGACAAAATCAATTATTGAGCTGTCATTAAATATTTTTTTTGAAAGGCAATAGTCCTACGAAAATCAAAGATGAGTTGGATTCTGTGTATGGGAATTCCGCATCATCTATTCACGACAGTAAAATATTGGGCAACTGAATTTAAACGTGGCCGTAAGAGCTTGAGAGATGATGAACGTTAGGGACGTCCAAAAACTGCAACTACTGACGTAAACATCACCAAATGGTGCTAGATGACCACCGAATTAAAGTGAAAGAGATAGCAGAGGTTAAATGAAAGTTTTGGTGCCGATTAATTACTGTAGATGAAACTTAGGTACACCATTATGCGCCCGAAATAAAAATACAGACCAAACAGTGGACTGCAAAGGGGAAACTGTTTTCTCGGCTGGAAAAGTAATGGAGACTGTTTTTAGGGATAGTCATGGAGTTATTTTAATCGTTTACCCTCAGAAAGGAAAAACCATTACAGGAGCATACTACGCATCATTACTTGTCAAGCTGAAGGCAGAACTTACACATTTGCAGGAAAAGATAATCCTGTTTCACGAAGACAACACACCATCTCACACCTCAGCGGTTGCCATGCTGAAAATCCACGAATTACGGTTTGAACTGCTGGACCATCCGCCTTCCTCAACAGATCTAGCCCTAAACGACTTCTTTTTGTTCTCTTATCTAAAAATTGCTCTGGTAGGACAGAAATTTCGGTCTTTGCAAATAAAATCTGCCTTAACCCGAATAGCAAAATATTGAGAAGATTTCGTCTCTGGTCTTTTTTTAATATAAAAGATTCACCACATCAAAAGGGAAAACTATCATCAAATAGGGAAATGTCAGGGAAAAGTCATGGAATTTCATTTTAACGGTCTGGTAGCCACTCTAATTATGCCATTTGAGTACCACAAATCATCCAAATTTTTTTCCCCCAGCTTAATGCATTCCTGGAGTATATAACAGCCCAATAAAGGCTTTGATTTCAATTACATCATTTGCCATTGCACCCATTCTCCATAAAAAATTTACATATGCACCGTCAATCCTCAAGTTTTGGTACTAAAATTGGACGCAAGATTACTGGATTGTAAGATTCCAAGAATGAGGAGAATGCGTGAAGGGAAGGTCATCCTCTCCCAAGCGGTATTAAAACATATCAAATAGACCGGTTGACAGATCTCTCTGATCCGGTGCGACCTTGGAAGTGTTAAATGTAATGCTAATATTTTTAATAGAGGTCCAGTTAGCTTTCCTATTATTTTATATAGAATGTATTTGTTATTGTGCGAGTTTTCATTTGTTTAGATTAAAAAATTGTCTTTATTAATCAGATCATGCTCAACTGAAGTTGTTGATGGGATTTTACTTAATTAAATTTACAGATTATTCAAAAGATCACTGAATGTAATAGGTATGTAATTATTTAAATATTCTTTGATGAAACCCTGGTCATGAAATCTAACTTGTAAGTGCCAAGGATTTAATTTTCTGTCAGGGTGTTTAAATTTTGTTGAATCTCAGAATTAATTAAAACATCCTCTGTGCTAGAATAAGAATTGTTCGTTATGCTGTAGATGAGCTGTCCTTCCTTTAAAACCAAAAATGAAAAAGTTTCTTGATATTGATTTAGTTTTAATCTTAATTACTCAGGTTGCAGTAGCTGGTGCTCCAGTCACCTCTTGGGCTCTTTACGATACAGGATATACAGAAAGATATATGGATCTACCTAACAACAATCCTCAAGGTTATAAAAATGGTTCAATTTTGACTTATGTCAATCAGTTTCCTGATGAGTGAGTTTATTATTTACTTTTATTTTAATTATGAATTAATAGAAGTTTGATTGGTATGAATACTCTAGATTTAATTTTATTGGTAAAATAATTGTATTCCATATTGAAGGAAGGGTCTAAGGGGGTAAGTTTTATTATAAAACATATTCTGGTAATGTTTGCTAAACTGCTATTATTAAAAGTGTGTCCTTTTTGTTTTTTTTTTGCTCATTTCTTTATTGATATGGGATATACATTTAACAAATACCCACACTATGTCTATATAATATTTAATACATTCAATTTTTTATGAACTTTTTTCAGAGAAAATCGATTATTAATTGTTCATGGACTTCTTGATGAAAACGTCCATTTTACACACACTAGTTCTCTTATTAGCCAGCTTGTAAGAAGAGGAAAACCCTATCAGCTGCAGGTGATTTACCTAATTTATAGCGAATGGTGTTATTCACAACTGTTAATCACAGTTGGTAGTGTAGTGGATTTATTAATGAAAATGAAATGATAAGTTTTGGGAAACATAACAAATTTTATCTTATTTTCAGGTTTATCCCACTGAAAGACACAGCCTAAGATCCCTCGATGCTAGTAAACATTATGAAACAATGCTTTTATCATTTCTTCAGAAGAACCTGTAACATTAATCTGAGGTTAGGTTAGAATGTGTAACTGTGTTTTCTGAAAACATTCAACAAATTTTAGCTAATGCGAATAATGTTTAAGTTGTACATATTAGTGCAGTGATTTTTTTTTTTTTAATTCTTAAATACTCAGATGTGCAATCATTTTTATGTATATATTTTTTAGATTTAGTTGTGTTACAGTTTAAAAATAAAAAACAGTAGGATAAATGTTTCAAATAATATTTTAAGAAAAAGGCATGGTCGCTTGACTTTTGTATATAATATATATGTATATATATTAAAATTAATTCAATTTCGATTATACAAATAATTATTGTAGGCTGTTTAAAAATGTGGCCAAATTTTAAGGATTGCATTAGTCTTTTGATTTATTTTTATTATTATTGTTTTAATATTTAACTTTCTCACTCTACTTGTTACATTGCTAATTTGATTATAACTGCTCTTAATTTCATTGTCTATCGCTTTTATAAATGCCTCATATAACTTTTCTTTTATTTATGTTCTTAACCTTTCATTAAAATAAATTGTTGTAATTTTTGACCTGGGTATAAGAAATACTACTATGTGTAATATAAATTGGTTTGTTCATCTCAAAGATATTAAATTATTTTTATATATGTATTGAGCTTTTGTATATTCATCAACCGGAGCAATAAATGGTATTTAAGTGATATAATGGTTAATACCTCTTAATCTTAAGCAAGTTGTTGATAGGTATGTATTTTAATGCTTATTGTTTAAAATTTGAGATATAACATACCTCATTTTTGCTTACTGATTTTTCTTACTTGATTTAATGATGAATTTAAAACATAGGACATAGGAGTGTAGTATTCTTGTTGGTGTTAAGAAATAACTTTTTTGTATGTATATGTATATATATTAAGAATTTTGTACTTATTATATTTAATATTTCTTTTTCTACATTTTCTTTATTGCATTTTGGTATTGTACAGTTTTACCTAAGCAACCCTATTATTTATTCATATTTTATATGTTTTCAATATTGTATTTTCAAATAATTAAATTTAGATTTATCCTTTTTGTACATACGTATATTACTATAAATTTTATTTATATTTTTCCGGCATGAAGAAATGTGTAATCATTGTTGTAATTGTGTTGTGCTACAGGATTATATACATAAATGTTAAATCGTTTTTTTATTATATTACTTAATAGTTTACTCACCAATTTAAGAAGGATATTAAAATAATATAGTTTTGTATGAGGTAAGTATTTATGAAATATTTATTGATTATCTTTAAAGCATCATTTAAATATATAGCATTTGTTATATTAATAACTATTTTGATGTGACATAAATAGCTTATGTCTATAAGAAATTAAGAAGCTGCCTCAAGAATGACACATTAGCTCTAATAGTAACAGAATTATCATTATGTTATCCATATTTTCAGTAAAAAGTTGAAGAGTTCTTAGGAGTTTTTATTATATCTAAATAAACCTTTTTCTTCCCATGTAATAAACTATGGGGAAAAGAAGTATATCACTAAATTAGAAGTGAGTTGAAATCAATTTTAAAATTTAGAGACCGAAATATGTTCCTAGTTTGACCGCTATAATGGGAGCTCACCTTTTCCAATATTGAGAACTGTTCAAGAATTCCTATATTAGAAATGTAATGCTCTTTTAATTTGAGCATAGTAGAGTAAAGCTCCCAGTTGCCATCTCCCTACCCCAGTTTTTGGTAACCATTGGCGGTTATTTATGAATATTAAACTTTTGGAATGGCCTAGAACTGTTGAAAAGGGCTATTTCGAAACATGCAATTCTTCTGCGCAAATATGCTATCATTGCATATTTTATCATTTATCCCCATTCCAAAAGAATGGAGCAGAAAGCATGGAGGGACTTCCTTAGCCAGAGAACACCTGCAGCCTATGAAAAGCACAAGGAAAGAAGGAACTAGGCCAAGATAAAAGTTCTTCTAGCCAAACAAAAATCATGGGAAGATTTTGGTCACAAAATGGACTAAAATGCAAAAGAATAGCAAAAGATCTACAAAGTTATAAAAGGAATGAGGAAGGAAAGGCCGTATTATCTCAAAGGAATCAAAGATAAAGAAGGAAAGATTTTATGGCAGGAAGAAGATATAATGGAAAGATGGAGAGAGTACGTCAAGGAGCTGCTGGAAGGAAGAAACTTTAGTCTGGATGAGATCCACAATGCGGAGGCGAAATATTCCAAAGAAATATCAGGGAGGAAGAACTGCAGGAAGCTATCCCTAAGATGAAGCTGGGCAAATCTGCAGGGCTTGATGAATAATTCCCGCGGTACATGGGCAGTAAAGGTGAAGAAATGTTTCTTCATCTCTCAAATTTGATTTAGCACATTTACCTGAAAAAAAGGTATATAATACATATTAAAATTTACATAATATTTATATATCGTCCATAAAAATGCTGACTATCGAATCCGAAAATCACCTCGTTTTGTATCCAGCTCAAACAACCAGGATGGTTTAATTTTCACAGTAATATCTGCTTTTATGAATATTTTAAGATTTTGTATTCGCTCTTTAGAAATATTTAATTACAACTACAATCGCTAGAGTTTAGTATAGTATAGAAAAATGTTCATATTTTGATATTCGATAGTTAATATTTGTATCGACGATTTGAAGATAAGCTAGTAAAATAATATACATTGTTGAAGACAATTTAATGTTCAACAACTTTCTTCCACATGGCGTATTTTATATTAATATATGTTGTATTTTCGTAGAATTATTTATTTATGCCTCCCTTCCTTGCCTTTCGGCTACACGGGATTTTGCAGGGATGGCTTATCACACGCGTGCATGTCATTCTTGCTATTAAACCACAAAGTATTTTCGTAGAATGAAGGAATAAACAGTTGACTAAGTAAACACATATGAAAACGTGAGGAATTTTTTTCTTCTTCAAAATCTAAGATAAGCAAGGTTCCTTCACACAGAATGGGATATGTCTTCACGATACGATATTCCTGTTGGCGGCGACACACTGTGGAACGAGTAAGGGAGACTGGCGACATCCGCTAAAATAATTTTTTTTTTTAGAATTAGTAAACTAGATAATTTGTTTTATTGATACCTTTTGGAATTCGTGAGAATATTTTCAGTTGGCAGAATATACATTTTTCACAGTTTTTATTGAATAGTTCAATTGAAAACTTAGTCATTTTGTGGAATTTCACGAGATTTGTAGGTTTTATATAATTGCTTCGTTTGGGCTGGTGGTTCATAACGTTTCTCTTCTATATTAAATATATTAAATTTATGCGTTTTTCGTCACTAACCATTTCCTTTTACGACTGTATATTTTAATTATTTGGTTAATTATAATAAATAATTAAGTGTTGCGAATTCCTTATAGTCCGCCAAGAGTGACGGTAAGGAGGTCAGATATTCATGTATGTGCCATTGTGAGTATATTTCTTGTTTAAACACTATACAGATTTTTATTTTTATATTGTTGTAATATATACATTTAAATATTAAATAATACCAGCATTTATTTATGAAAACCGAGCATGTATAAATAAATAATATAATAGAAACCACAGGAGGACTTTCGGGCTGAAGCCCCCCAAAATGGTAAAATATAACCATGTCTTACAGAAAAAAATATTAAAAACTATCTCTTAAACTTTCTTGTTCTTGTAATTACATTTAATAGGAACCACTTAAACACCATTTCATATAAGTAGTTAATTTCTTTCTTTTTTTTCAAATTAATTATCGTTATATGTATATGAAAAAAAATCTTTCGGGCTGAATCCACCCCCCCCCCAAAATTAAATCCTGGATCCGCTAGTGATAGGAACCCGTCAACCAAGGGCACGCTCGGGTTTCCTCAGCAGTTCTCGGCTTCTTAATATCACCCTATTACCCCGAGCGAACGCGAGTTTCAATTCTTGAAACAATCTCTTATTGTTCCTTTAGTTCATAATAATTTGTTTCACTGTTTATATTTAACCATTTTTATTCAGTATCTGAATTTTGAAATAGTTAATGTTTTAAAACAAACAAAATTAAAGGTACTTTAGAGGGAGACATTTTGAAAGATCGACATTTACGCCTTGTTGGAGAACATCAATGAGGATAAAAACTTATAATAATCTTATAATAAAAACACTTAATTGTACATAAGCATAACTAGTTTAATCAACAATGTTTAAAATTTTTTGAATTTTAGAAAATCCTAAAAATGTGTTAAATCGAAGGTATAAAGTGCCACTTCCAGTTTGCCAATTTTAACGAACAAGTTGCTGTAACATCCCTGGAACACAAGATAATGCTCATCCTTACACTTCCCGTAGAACCAAAGAAAAGTTTAAATAAACTTCATGAGTTCGAACTCATGCCTCATCGAACATATAGTTTGTATTTTATATCAAAGAAAGAATAATACAAGTATTTGGTTGAAACACGACCATTTTTTTATACACCTATTATATTATAACTATAGTTTTTGTTTTATTGAGCTTTTAATTAAAATTAGAATTAAATTAAAATTAAAATTAGAAACAAAATTATTATAATAACGATTATATTTACTAATATAGACAGTAGTTATGAATAGGTACCTAAAAGTATGTGTTTCAAAAGGTCTTTATCATTTGTAAAGTTAATTTATTGTAAAATTTAAAAATTACCAGGTTTAAACTAAGATACCGGAATTTTCTAGGTTCTTCGGAGAAATTATCTAATTTTGACGTCATATTCGTGTTCCTTGGTCTTGAAAACATAAGGCTACTTAATATCAGGTTAATGGGACATCATTTAAAAGTTCTTTGCTCATTTCCACGAAAACCCAACTTTCGTTCCATTGTGCGATATGAAGATATAATTGTGCTACATTATATTCCACTTTTACGGCCCCACAGAGAACTTTTCCATTTGGAATCAGACCATGCTTTGTTTTTTGAAAAGTTTGTCTAGAATCAACTTTTTTTCCTTTTTCATCCCTACCTCGTTTTACAGG